ACGAGCCATCTCCAGACCGTTTTGCATACTGGGTAGGCCCTTTGGGTCGTCGTCCCTGAGAGCCTGAATCGCGCTGATATGCTCAGTCGGATTTCCACTCATGTCACTGATCCGAATTGCTAAACCATCTCGCAAACCAAGTACTCCAAGTTGGGCGATCGGATTCTGCTCGAAAAATTCCTTCACGAAGTCTTGGGCGTATCGAATCATCAGAAGGTATCGCGTAGGCCGCAGGTCTTTCTCCGTCATGGATTGCGATAAATCTAAGATCAAGATCAGATGTCGAATTATACCCCGTTGCAACGGGGTGGTGTCTTTCAGGAGCCTGTCGTTGAAGGTCAGCGCACCATGGCATAGGGAATATCGAGGGCGACGACTAGACGCATGAAAAGACCCAACATACCTCTTCCGTTTTCCAGCTTCGAGGAGACCCTCGACTGTGGAACTGATCGTTCCATCGGCACCCTCGACGAGTGTCTCCCACGTTCGCGAAACCTCCCATTCGGCGCCTCCGCGTTGTCTCTTCCTCCTTGAGCGAGAGACCCGAGCGGACCCTCCTCGTGGTTGAACGGCATTGTTTTCATCACCGTCTTCCGAAAGTTCTCCAATATAATCTTCATCGGAATCGGCCATAACCGCAACAACTGTGGTGAATTTGGTGGACTGTGACACCGCGGTTGACCGGAGCCGGAGCTTGGTCGGAACTAGGATCGATCGACAGGCTGGTCCAAGCTCCGCCGGAGCTCTCTCGGACAACCCAGCACTGCAGCAGCCTACAATTCCTTGCTTCAGAAGCCTTGGGGGGATAAATTTCAACGTCTATTAACTGCTGGTCAACTGCAATTCATCCCAAAAAAGGCGGCTCTCCACTCCGGGTGAATTTTCTCGAACCAATGTGGAGGAGAAGGTGTGTTGCATTGAGTGCTGGCGTGGCCACACCATCGGTCCAATGTCATCGTCTCCCCCGCCCCTCCATCCCCCGCTCGTTGACCACCTGCTCGCGACCCCGCCCCATTTCTCGTTCTCGTCTCTTCTCGCGCCCTCAGACCTTCCGCCAACCTTTGACTGCGGTCACAAACCCTCTCACCTTTACGAGATATTGCTCCGCTGAAATACGCGCAATGGCTACCAACGACAGAGAAACTCTCCCGGACGCGTGAGTGAAAACCTCTCCCCACTGCAGATGGGAATGAAATGAAAGGGACAAGTGACGGTGGAATCTCTGACAGCGCTCTAGGGTTAAACCGATCCATTACCATGTATCGCTTTACGACTTGCAGCTTGGCAGCTCCTGGGGCTACAAGGGCAATTTGAAAATAGCCTCCAAAGTCGCCCGACCCACCAAGGACATCGTGTTGAACTCGAAGGAGATTGAAATTCAGCACGCGGAGGTCGCCGGAAAAGATGGTCAGCATGGATTGCTCTACTTGGATATATGAACCCTTGAAATTGGTGGATATACTGATGGTTCGTATCAGGCGCGGTGCTTACCAGGGCTTCTGAGATAACCTACGACAAAACTTCCGAACGCGTGACCATGAAGTTCCCAGATGAAATTGCTCCATCAGATGTGGAGCTAAATATTGCATTCACGGGAACGATGAATAACGCTATGGCTGGGTTCTATCGGTCAAAGTACAAGTCGGCGGTCGAATCGACTGCGGACACCCCGAAAGAGGATGATTTTGAGTACATGCTGAGCACACAATTCGAGTCCTGCGACGCACGCCGTGCCTTCCCATGCTTTGACGAGCCGAATCTCAAGGCGACCTTCGACTTCGAGATCGAAGTGCCCAAAGGGCTGACAGCCCTGAGCAACATGCCCGTCAAGTCGGAAAGAGACGGCAGTAGCCAAGAGCTCAAATTCGTGACCTTTGAAAGAACTCCCGTGATGAGCACCTATGTAAGCCATTGATTCCCCATTTAGTCTTCTAAAATGTCTAACAAAGGCCAAGCTTCTTGCGTGGGCTGTTGGCGACTTCGAATACGTTGAGGCTATGACCGAACGCAAGTACCAGGGCAAGAGTATCCCTGTCCGCGTTTATACCACAAAGGGCCTCAAAGAGCAAGCTCGTTTTGCTCTCGAATGTGCTCATCGCACTGTTGATTATTTCTCCGAGGTCTTTGAGATCGAATATCCTTTGCCGAAGGCCGACCTCCTTGCTGTCCATGAATTTGTAAGCCCCATATCCCGAACATTCTATTTTAGTGTCTGACATATTTGATACAATAGGCCATGGGTGCGATGGAGAACTGGGGACTTGTGACATACAGAACAACCGCTGTCCTCTTCGAGGAGGGCAAATCCGATACTCGGTACAAGAATCGCATTGCCTATGTAGTGGCGCATGGTTAGTCCGCCTCCTTCATCAGCTGCCCGATGAACCACATATTGTCTAACCAAAGTTTCTAGAGCTCGCCCATCAATGGTTCGGTAATCTCGTGACGATGGACTGGTGGAATGAATTGTGGCTAAATGAAGGGTTCGCAACTTGGGTTGGCTGGTTGGCCGTCGACCACTTTTACCCTGGTAAGCCTCTATCGTCCCTGAATATCAATTAAGATCTAACAGTTTAGTACAGAATGGAACATATGGTCTCAGTTTGTCGTACGGAATTCTAGAGGTAATTGCGATGTCAATCAAAAGGTTAACTGTTTCTAGGCTGAAGGTGTTCAACAAGCGTTCTACCTCGATTCGTTGCGCGCATCCCATCCGATCGAAGTTCCAGTAAAGAACGCTCTTGAGGTTGATCAGATCTTCGACCATATTAGCTACCTCAAAGGAAGTTCCGTGATTCGGATGTTGAGTAACCATCTTGGTCAGGAGACTTTCCTTCGGGGAGTGGCTGAATATCTCAAAACTAATGCATATGGTGAGCTTTCTTTGAAGCGAATGGAGCCATCTGGCGTTCAATAGGGACTTACGAGGTGCAATTCACAGGTAATGCCACAACTAGCGACCTTTGGGCCGCCTTGAGCAAAGCTTCGAATCAAGATGTCACTAGCTTCATGGTGAGCTCCAAGATCTCCCTATATTCGCCCAAGATAACTAACTGACTGGCATTTCAGGATCCGTGGATTCGAAAGATAGGTTTCCCTGTCGTCACTGTGGCCGAGGAGCCCGGTCAAATCAGCGTTCGCCAAAATCGATTCCTTTCAACAGGAGATGCGAAACCTGAAGAGGACGAGACAACGTGGTGGATTCCTCTGGGAGTCAAATCCGGCCAAACACTGGATACTGTCGAATCTCGTGCCCTCACCACAAAGATTGACACTGTCCAGGGCGTTGGTCAGGATTCGTTCTACAAGATCAACAAAGACCTTTCCGGGTTCTACAGAACCAACTATCCTGCTGATCGATTGGCCAAGCTCGGAAAGTCTCTGGATCTGTTGAGCACTGAAGACAAGATTGGTCTGATTGGCGACGCAGCTGCGCTGGCTGTTTCCGGAGAAGGCACCTCTGCTGCTCTCTTAGTCCTTCTGGAAGGGTTCAAGACAGAGCGAGATTACCTGTGAGTCGGGAGCAAATTGTCTTGAATACGCGTTCAGTTTAAGAGCAGTGCTAATAGACATTCAGGGTCTGGTCTCAAATTTCATCGTCCGCTTCGAACCTACGCTCTGTTTTCTCTCAAAATGAAACAGTGACTGCCGGGCTGAAAAAGTTTACCCGCGATTTAGCATCACCTGCCGCTGATAAGCTTGGATGGGAATTTCAAGCGAATGAAGATTATCTTACCGTACAGCTCCGTAAGCTTCTTATCGGAATGGCCGGTGTAGCTGGCCACGAAGGGTAGGTCACATTCCATGAGAACGATGCACAAATACCAAAATTAATGTTACAATATAGGATTGTCGCAGAGGCTAAACGGCGTTTCGACCTTTGGGCTACCGGCAAGGATAAGAGTGCCCTACATGCGAACCTTCGATCGGCAATCTTTGGCATCGCAATCTCGGAAGGCGGACACGAGGAGTATAATGCCGTGAAGGAAGAGTATTCCAAGACAACCTCAATCGATGGAAAGGAAATCTGTCTGGCAGCTCTTGGGCGTACCAAAAAGCCGGAGCTTGTCAACGATTACTTGAATTTCGTGTTCTCCGACAAGGTGGCTGTCCAGGATGTCCACAACGGTGCTGCTTCTTTGGCCGCGAACTCCAAGGTGCGAGGTCTACTGTGGGAATACATCAAAGATAACTGGAGTGCTGTCGAGACCCGCCTATCCGCAAACAATGTTGTGTTTGAGAGATTTGTCCGCATGGGTCTCTCCAAGTTCGCCGACCACAGTATTGCCGACGATATCGCTTCGTTTTTCCAGAACAAGGACACAAGTGCATACGATCGTGCATTAGTGATCGTCTCTGACAGCATCAGGACTAACGCACGCTACAAGGAACGGGATGAGAAACTTGTCCTCGAGTGGCTTGCGGCCCATGGCTATGCCTGATGGTAGAGCGCCAAAGTGCATGCATGATGTGTTGGTTGAGAGTGGTTGGCTAAGATTGGGAGAAAGACCAGGGTTAGACATACCGATAGGTCTTCAATGTAGATTGGAACCCACCGTCATCTACCAAGGATTTGCACGTCGGAACCTTGCCCTGCTCGACTTGACAGATGCATGGTTACCTGTATTACCTCTTGTTCAGTACCAGCTGGATTCAATGGATTGGGTTATCAACACGTGATACCGCTTATGTAACTGTAATGATACAGAAGGGGTAGATGTATGGATAGGTACAGGGCGGATCAACACAGTAAGATAATCCAGAAATGAACATGGATTCTTCATGGAGAAGGATATAATATGTAGATACCTACTCCGTAGTAGTATTCAGTTCAATTCAATGATCACCGGGCAGAACGTAGTCCAGGGTGAAGGTCGGCCCTGATTCGAGTACTAAACTGGATGGGTCATGGAAGGGGGGAACGTGAAACGGTCACAGACAAGCACTTAAATTAGTTAGGCCGGTCTTAGCCTCTTCGAGGAAACTTGCACGCTGGGCTCGCCTGCTCTCCTGCACTCAACAACTGCCAGTTCAAGACGCCGCCCAAGTCCATCCAAGTCTACACCTTTAGGCAATCACTACATCGCTTCTTCTACCGCCGTTCTTGTCTTTATCATCCACCCACTACTTTCGACTCTCTCACCTTGCTTCAGAAGAGCCTCCGCCTAACCCAGTGAATACATCCTCCCGCCATCCATCATGAACCCCGAGTGGTAAGTCCTCTGGCCTTCCACAGCCAAATACACCCATCCCTCGTGTAGCTTCTGTCTTTACATGAGCACTTCTTGAGGTTGACATTGCTGACCATGTCATTAATAACTAGAGTACTTACCACTTTTCTTCGATTTGCAACTTTACCCCTTTGCTGAAATCAGCGACCTACGTTTCTGTCTCCTGTCATCCTAATCATTATGTCATATCAGATACGACTATCTATTCAAGCTTCTCCTTATTGGAGACTCCGGCGTCGGAAAGTCCTGTTTGCTGCTTCGATTCGCCGATGACACCTACACAGAAAGCTATATCTCCACCATCGGTGTCGACTTTGTATGTCCTATCGCCCGTTCACATCCGACCGGCCTCCCTGGACTCTCATCAAACTAACCGTCGAGTGGTAGAAAATCCGAACTATCGAACTGGATGGAAAGACCGTGAAGCTCCAAATTGTAAGGCAACCCTCCTAACAGTCTGTATTCATGGCGAAACCCGCTGACACTTCTTCCAGTGGGATACTGCAGGCCAGGAGCGCTTCCGCACCATCACTTCGTCCTACTACCGTGGTGCTCACGGTATCTGTGTTGTTTATGATGTTACCGACATGGATTCGTTCAACAACGTGAAGCAGTGGCTGCAGGAGATCGATCGCTATGCCACCGAGGGCGTCAACAAGCTGCTTGTTGGCAACAAGAGCGATATGGAGGACAAGAAGGTCGTGGAATACACAGTGGCAAAGGTAGCTTACTCTCAGACTAGCCCCTCTGATATTGCTACAGAGTCTAACATACTGGTCGTTTTAGGAATTCGCTGATAGCCTTGGAATTCCCTTCTTGGAGACGTCTGCCAAGAATGCCTCGAACGTGGAGCAGGCCTTCTTGACGATGGCAAGACAGATCAAGGAACGCATGGGCACTGCTACCGTCAACAACAAGCCGACTGTGCAAGTCGGACAGGGTCAAGGTGTTCAGTCCGGGTCTGCAGGCGGATGCTGCTAAACGAACCATGAAGTATCGTGCTCTGCGCCCATTTGACTGCAATAGAATCACAGAATCTATTCACTGCTTCCCGGAATCGGACGGTCTAGTTTGACTGCACCATAGCACAGGCTGTATCACGGATATCCCCTCCCCTTGTTCCTCTTTTTGCCCTCCCCTCCCCTTCCGCCCGGCAGACTTCTTCTCTTCCACTTCCCTTTCTCTTTGTTCCTATCGAACCACGTGGTCGATTTCTTCGCCATGTTTTAGACGGCCTGTGTTTCTGTCCTCTATATGCTTATTCTGCAGGTGTTTATGCTCTCTATCTTCTTTGTTGTTCTGTTTCCCTTATCTCTCCGTTTTATTTGTGGCTTCCCTGCAGCATTTTCATTTCAGATCTCGCCTTAATCTCTCTTTATAAGTAGTTGGATTCGTTTCGTACCCTTGTCGGGATCAATTAATGAGAAGACCATGAATATGTGGTGACTTTCGACAGCCCGGGTTCAACTCCCATTTTACTGTGGAAAGCCCGTTCCTTCTATTTTGTGATTACAGTTAGAATGTCAGCGACAAGTGATCAATTGGATTGAGATCTGGAAAAAATAAATAAAAATAAATAAATAAAAACGATTACAGCGTCACATGTTGGCCCAGGACAGGTGACCGCATGCTTCTTCCATAAGGCCGATTGGCACTCGAATAGATGCGAGAAAAAGAGTATCCGTGAGAACGTTGAAAGTTGCGTATGCGCGAGTGCTTTGACCCTGGCTAGCCTCGGAATCGAGGATCTCTTCCCTAATTGTTGAGATTATTGTCTTGATTGTCAAGATCGAGACGTGGTACGCTACTGACTTGGAGTGGTCACAGATTGAGATTACTTTAAATTACCAGAATGAAACGACCGGTCGATCATATGATAGGGAAGCCACGAGTTATTGCACGGGACTGGTCAGTTGGGCGTCACATGCTAAGTAGAGACATACTGATCGAGTCCACCCAGCGTGATATTTATACTGTAACAACACAGCTGGATAATATTATGCAGAGATCGGTCATTTACCCCAGTGTCCATCGTAGACTTATCTCTCTCTATATACGGAGTAGAACTACGGAGTAGTTTATTGCTCAATGGTCGAGGTGATCTGTCGAGGCCAAGACCGACGTAAAAATTCATGAGGGAAAGGACAATCAATGCATACCCAGATGAAATTATTGGGGTAGGAGGTTTGCGGTGTAGTTATTGTTATTGCTGTCGTTAATGTTATTATTGATAATAAATCATCGAGTATTTGTTAATGGTACCTGGCCGCCCTGTTGGTAATGTCATAAAACATCCCCTCTATAACCTCTTATATTTAGCAAGCTTGTATTGAATACAATATGATGATTCCGTTCAAAGTGACATCTCCATTCCATGGTGTACAATGTTCGATGATATATGACCGAACCAGACCCCAATTCTCGGACAGCGGAGGGGGGGAGGAGGAAGCATGCATCAACCGAGGCACATCATTCGGCAAACGTCATGAAAATCATCATTCCCCAGCCAGAGCCGAATCATTCTCGCGCCCCAACAACCAAAACATCCCCGGCCTGCTTCATTTAGGGTCATTATTTCCCCCCTTTTCACAACCTTATTTCCCCTTTGTCTCCCATACATTCCCCACCTTCCACTCATTGCCGTTTATTTGTATTTGATATACAGAAGTCGCTCTCTGTTGATTGTCCGGTCTATGCGGTTACTGATTTGACCCTTGAAGATCATCCTATCTCGTTCTAGTTGGCAAATCCACTCGATATTACAACGTCTTCTTACATCTTCCCCCTCTCAATCAGCATCCCCAATATGTCTCAACCAAGAAGCGAAGGACAAGCGAAGGTGGTGGCGGCTGTTCAGCAAGGCGACAATATTGCTCATGCTTTGGCCGGCGCAGGCGGTGGCATTCTTTCGATGGTCCTGACGTAGGTTGGCCCCATAATCAATATTATGTATAGTGTTTGACATTCCTCAATCTATAGTTATCCTTTAATTACCCTCTCAACCAGAGCCCAGGTTGAATCCAAGCGTGCGCAGTCAACTACCGTGGATGCCATCCGTCGCATCGTCCAGCGGGAGGGCTTCGGGGGACTTTATTCCGGTCTCGAGTCCGCGCTTTTTGGCATCAGTGTCACCAACTTCGTGTACTACTACTGGTATGAATGGACGCGCTCAGCATTCGAAAGGGCCGCCGACAAGGCTGGCCGCGCCTCGAAGAAACTCACGACAGTCGAGTCTATGATCGCGGGGGCTATCGCGGGCAGCGCAACGGTCCTGCTTACCAACCCCATCTGGGTCGTCAACACCAGAATGACGGCTCGCAAGGCCGAACCCGAGGGACAGACGGCCGAGAAGAAGCAACGGACCTCGACGATCAGCACCCTTATGGAACTCCTGCAGAAAGAGGGCCCCAAGGCCCTGTTCGCCGGTGTTCTGCCAGCTCTTGTGCTGGTGATCAACCCCATCCTCCAATATACCATTTTCGAACAACTTAAGAACATGGTGGAGCGCCGGAGACGCATGACCCCGAAGGATGCCTTTTACCTTGGCGCCCTGGGCAAAATCCTTGCCACCTCGATCACATACCCTTATATCACCATCAAGAGCCGAGCGCACGTTGCCAGCAGGGATGGCCCCAAGGAGAGCCTGAACGGCAGCCTGAAGAGGATCATTAAGGAAGAGGGTTATGTGGGATTGTACAAAGGTATTGATTGCATGACTTCCATTACCTACCGGCAAGACAGAAGCTTACAAAGCATAGGTATCGGACCCAAGGTCACTCAGAGTGCTATCACGGCAGCATTCTTGTTCGCTTTCAAGGATGTCTTATATGACATGATGATCTCTTTGCGTAAGAGAGGTAAGGTTTCCCGGTAAGGATAGCAATGTGAGAAGGCTGGCTGTGAAAAAAGTGTCGAAGGGAAATCTTACAGATCTCCTTTGTTGGCCGTGTATCATCAATGTGTCTTTTCCAGGCTTTTATGTTCTTGTCATATACCAAATTGGCCTGAGTGTGCATCAAAGACTTTAGTTTCCACTATAGGCTGTGAACAATTATACATATATATAACTCTATAACATCAAGAACTCCTTGGTACTTTATATATGTGAGAACCGATGAAAAGGTTAAATTATTAATGAGTTTTGATGGCTCTCGGGACTACGAAGAGGTTGCAAGTTGCTGCAAGAACACGGAGAGCCGAAAAAGTAGGCTGCACGAGAGAGCTCTGTATGTCTCACTCTTCTATAGTATATAGACGAGCTGCTCAAGAAGTAAAAACTGAGGTTTTGGATGATCTACCAATGGATTGAGCCATTGTGTATTATCATGTACAGAGCTTTATGTATTGTGGACATAGTACGAGTGTCTGAGATGTCAAAGGTTCTACAGTTCATTTATACAATTTTGTTGATATTATAGTAATAGATGTTTGTACATGTTCATTGTTCCTTCAATGATGGTCACCTTCTTGAAGGACAAGTTATCCGACCGCCTGCTGCTTTGGGACACCCAAGAATCCTCAGTCAATTACCTGCCCCGTTTAGAGCGTGTGGCAGACACGTCGGGCTTATCTTCGCGTTTCCGCGTTGCCAAACGGCCAGGCCATTTGCTTTTGCAAGGATGTGTATTGATCTCAAAACACCAACTGACCAATATTGAATTTGATGCACAAGCAAACAGCCTATCTCTCTCTCTCACTCTCTCTTGCAGCTCACTTTCCCAAAGCCAGTGGTTACTAACCTGAACCTGGAATCGCAACTCCATCCAACAATCTTTGTGGTCATGGAAATTCCTACCACAGCACTACTATGTTTCGACCGTACCTAGTGAACTGGATGAGTTTTTGATTCATGACGCAAGCGTGGAGAGTCGGGCTATCTACGAAGCTCCCCAGATAAACTCCACTGGGCACGATCCAACTTTCCATAGTTGAATGTAGCGCCTGCAAATGTAAGTATCAATTGACGCTCATACTTTTTCCACCATGGCTTCTTCTGACTGTCTCAGCTTGCCACAAGATCAAGACGCCCGTCGCTCGTCATCCACAAACCACATAGCATGTTCCAAAAATTTACGGGCGCCAGGGGCCGAAGCTCTCGGCCTGAGGCCTTTATCAGCCGACAGGCGCCACTCTACTCCGAGCTCAGCTCTTCCGAAGAGTCCATATTGACTGAAGAATATGAGGTGTTATTATCACAATTTACGAGGCATTCGTCTTCGCACAAACCACAGAAGTCTCCGCTGACCCCTGGCGCCCTGGACAATAATGGAACCCCGAACGGTACTGGACAGACTCGCGGCAACTCCAACTTCATCGGTAGGCGATGCCTGGACAAAATATCACAATAATGTGTATCACTAACGCAAAAATTATTAGCAGCCCAACACGATGATAGCAATCCTCCACCCAGGAACCATACAAAATCGCCCCAGCCTCGTCCGAAACAGCCCCGACCACCAACTGAGCCAACGCGGCGGACCTTTCGGAGCACAGGAGCAACGGAAATGCACGTTCCTAGGATAGCGGCCCGACAGGACGATAGCAAACCTTCGTCCAGGAACCATACCAGGTCACCCCAACCCCGACAGAAGCACTCGCGAACCCCAACTGAATCAAAACGGACCTTCCGGAGCACAGGAGCACCGGAAACTCTTGTTGCCGGCCGTAAGCGTGCAGGATCAAAGGATGCACGACCGTTGCATGTGGACAAACCTCATGGACCTTCGAGGCTCAGATCACCGGCTCGGGGTTCCCCAGTTCGGCGATCTACACGCCCGAGAAACGAGCCGGTGAATTATTACCAGTGTCCGAACTTTTTCTACGAATCCGACGAAGGAGTCTCTATTATGAATGAGGCACTGCCCACAGATCACGCGCTTGACACGTCGCATGAACGTGGCAGAACCAGTCCGTCTCGCTCCCCATCCCAGCCACGTGGGGAAGACCCAATCGGCAACTCGACCGGCATGCAATATGAATTGATATATCATTCGTCTAAACTACAAGTCGCCAAATGGTACCTGAAAGGACCGGCCGATATGGAAGATTTGAAACATGCACGCTATTCTCCACAACGTAATCCGGCTGATTATACCAAGAGGTTTCAGACTGGTGGTACATCGGCTTGTGAGGTGTCTCATGTCGATTTCCATGAGCAGGAAATGAAAGCAATCTTGAATTTGTTACAGTTTTTTGGCTGCCGCCAACCAGTGAGCCATGAGATGGCACCTGCTGATCAAGTAATACATCTTGTGAAAACATCCGGCATCCCGACAGGGTTTAGCCAAAGGATTAACCAAATAAACAAGCTCATTTCGTTGCTCACAAGGGCCCAGGCGAGCGATTACACATTGTGGCTTCTGAATGCAGTAACTCCAACCACGCAACACCACCGGCATGCTCGTGCGCAGCGATATCTAGCCAAGATTCTGGGATTGAAAAATCCAAATGCTTCTCTCTTGGATTTCACCGAAACAATTATCCTATTACCAAGTTACTTTCCGCAAGTATCCATCTTGAGCCGACGCAAGGGGTCCGACATCGATCTATTCCTCAAGGACGCCAAACGAGGCAGACTTCCATCCGTCCCCAGTAAGATCATAGTCACCGACGCCGAACCGAGTCAAAGGTTGCAGTCTACTCGCGCGTCTCGGAGCTCGGCCACGCTCAATCGAGTGTTGCAGGGCCGCGAGTTGGGCCACCGCGTGGAAGGCAAGCTTCGCCCACAGATCAAATCGCGCTTAAGCACCCACAGGACGTGGAAGGGGGCCTCGAACGACGTGAATGTTCTAGCCTGGTCTCCTGATGGAACCCGGTTCGCGGCAGGTGCTACGGCTTTATGCGACGAACACAACATGGACTATAATCGACGGAATAATTTGCTTGTGGGTGACTTGGTTAGCAATCGCCTCGAGGAGCTGCCTGATCACTGGATCTCTCGTCCGCGCACAAATAGCAGGATACTAAATGATACGCCGCTTTTCATGACGGTTACTGGTATGCAGTGGTTCGAAGACGCACTCTTCACTTCAAGCTATGACAAGACTGTCAAAATGTGGGACTTTCCTCGACACAGGCCAAGGTGTTTGAATACCTTTGAACACGATTCCAAGGTGGAAGTGATGGCTCGGTCGAGTTTTCGAGGAAACCTTCTCGCAACCGGTACCCATCGCATTGGGTTATGGCAGATCGACTCGTCAAGGTATACGCCTCTTGAGGCGTCCTCGAAGAAATGCCCTGAAATGATCTCGACCTCATTGGTATGGGGAACGCTTAATGCGACGAAGGACTTTCTGCTTGCCGGTATGTCTGAAAAAGAAGACGGTGTGTCGCAAAATGGGCTTCTCGCATCCTGGCGTGTCGGCGAGGCATCCGCAACGCCTACACAATTCTCCCACTGCTCACAGAATATCTTCGATATTAAATGGCATCCAACGCTCCCCTACTTTGCAACTGCAAGCTCCGTAGGGAATGGAAGGGCGGGGATGGCCTCCAGGGACACAAGGTCTGTTGTTCGTCTTTACGAACCACTGTTATCTAAGAAACGGACGCACGAGTTCGAGTGTCCCGCGTTGGACGTCAACGATGTGACTTTCTGCCCGCTCAATCCCAACTATCTGACGGCGAGCTGCACGGACGGGGCAATCTACGCCTGGGATATCCGCAAGGAAAATCAGCTGCTTCACAAGCTCCAACACGGTACCCCTCTAAACCCAATCGACGAGACTCTCCCAAGGGAAGAGGCAGACGTGGGGGTCAGGATGACCGTCTGGGGGGATGATATGGATACCTTGTATACAGGCGCGTCTGATGGCGTGGTGAAACGTTGGAATATCCTTAGATCCCCCGAAGATACTCTGATCAGAGACGAGGTCAGTTTGCAGGGGGGAGTGATGTGCGGTGCCTTCTCGGAAGACAAATCCAATCTCCTCATTGGAGATTCCGCTGGTGCCCTTCACATACTATCCCCGGGCCGTTTCTCCGCGGATGAGATTACCATGGAGTATAGGGGTGCGTCCGAGGCATCTTCCTCTCAGGACGAACCCGACACCGAGTCGGGTATCTCCCTTGCGAAAGACCTCCTAGCCTCGGGTGAACTCGTACGGCACCCAACTTATGGCGTCGGCAAAGGTCCACACTACAAAGGCCCCTTCGCAGCCTGGGCTCGGCCAGAAAGAACACCTCCAGACCAGATGTCGAGAGTCAGTCTGAAGAAAGAGTATCAAGTGCTGCAGCTTGAAGGGCCCCCGCTGGAGCGTCGCTCGGGGCTGAATGAGCAGGCCCGCCGGGATCATGCTGCTCGCGTCCAACTCTCTCGAATCCGCAATCAACGACAAAACGAAGGCAAACGAAAACATGAGAGTTCGGCAGTCGGCTGTCAAGACCATCCTCAAGATCTTCCTCAAGACCAATTCATCAACCTCTGCAGTGATGAAGATGAAGACGTCAAACCTATTAAGCTTTCGGCCAAGCGACCCACGACAAATATCCCCGATATCATTGATCTTACTAGCGACACTGAAGAAACAACAATATCGTCTTTCCGCACGAATCCTCTACATTCGAGTGAAAGACCTCTCACCAAGGTCAGTGGGGCCCTTGAGGAGTTGGAAGAGAAATTGGAGGATGACTACTGGTGGCCCGAGAACTCTACTGTTGACGCGAATATACCATGATGCGCTTCTTCCTGTCCGTTTGGGATAGCTTTCATCTGTTCTGCTTTTTAATGATACCCCTTGTTTGTGACCTAATTACCACGCTACTGAGCCTGGGTCTGTAGTTGATCCTCTTGTATATATGTGTACGAGGCATGTTGTTAATGGAGAGACCAGTCACCCTGAGGCTGGAACTTCTTGATTCACATTGACTTTGATCACCGTTTGTGGTTTTTGTAGAACTTCTGAGTGAAGTTGACAATTATCAGCATAGAGCTGTCCAGGGTCATTGCAGCGGTAGCTCACACTTGCCCCAGGTCCAGAGCGTACCTAGCACTGCGCGAGTATTACGGCGTAACCAGTGACATGGTTGTACGCAAGTATATCATCAGCAGTTGTGGCTGAGCAAGACAGTCCCGCCACCGCCACTGGAGCGCCGGATAGAATCTAGGCAAAGATCCCGCAATGTCTCAATCCGTCGATCTCGTGATATCATACCCCGGTGGATATATACTACGGTTATCTTCCAACTTTTACACAAGCAAACAAGAGCCTTACTACTACTCCAGGACAGTAAAGTATCATTATCATTACCGTCGCCTTTTTTTTTGCTATTCATATATCATTATCTATATCGATCCAACCTAATGTCGATGCCATTTGCCCCGCCGCCGGGCCCTCCGCCCCCGCCTGTCCCCGATGGATGGAAGGCTCAGTATGACGATAGGTATCAGCGATGGTGAGCCTCTTTCAATCCCCTTCTCTTGCTTATATGGAAGCCATAAAACTAACAAAAAAAACAAGGTTCTTCATAAACCTCCAAACGGGCAAATCCCAATGGGAACAACCCCCCACGACACCCTCAGAAAAACACCACCTCCACAGTGCCCCGAGCGACGCGCCCCCATCCTACGACGCCGCAGGCTCAGGATCTTCGCCATTAGGGACGAACGAAAAGAAGCCCTTCAACTCGAACAACCCCTACAGCGACGACACCAACAACCCCTACAGCGACATCCACCGCGCCGACAGCCCCACCACCGGCCGAAGCAGCAGCAGTAACATCCTCGACAGCGACGCCAGACTAGCAGCGCAGTTGCAGGCGGAGGAGGACGCGCGCGCCCGCGGTACGCCATCCGCGCAGAAGAAGGGCGCGTCGGACGATTACTACGGCGGTGGTTCACCCTCCGCGGCAGCAGCAGGAGGAGGAGGGTATCAGCAGGCGCCACTACCTCCTCGGCCGCAGAGTTCGTCTTCTGGGCAGAAGTCGCGGGGCGGTAGGGGGCTGCTGAATAAGATTATGGGGAAGGTCTCCGGCGGTTCTGCTGCTGCTGGTGGTAGTAGTAGTAGCAGTGCGGGCTACTCGCGGCCTCCGCCGGCTATGCCGCAGCAGCAACAGCAGCATTATCCCTACCAGCAAGGTGGTGGGGGGTATTATGGCGGGATGGCCTCGCCTCAGCCTGGGTATGGATACTCTGCGTATCCGATGCAGGGTGGTGGAGGGGGATACTACTCGCCGTATCAGGTGCAGCAGCAGAGAAGGCACGGTGGGGGGATGGGGACTGGGGGGGCGGCTGCTTTGGGGGTTGGGGGTGGATTGCTTGGGGGGGCGCTGTTGGCGAATGCGTTTGATGATCATCATGATCATGATGGGGATTATGGGGGAGGAGGGGGGGATTATGATGGTGGGGGGGATTATGGGGGTGGGGGAGACTTTGGGGGAGGAGGGGATTTTGGGGGGTTCTAGGTTGCAGAGCCTCTGATGTAGGATAGTTTGTTTCTTTTCTCTTCTCTTCTCTTCTTTTCTTTTTGTCCTTCTTCTGTTTCTTCTTCTGTTTCTTGTGTATTCTGGATAATGGGCTTAGGAGGCGGCGTTTTTGGAAGATTGATTTCCTTCAATAGTACAAATAAGTTGATCGTCCGTCTGGATCCACAAGTTCACAATATCATGTAAAACACACCATACACATATACCATTCCATCGCCTCAAGTTGATCATCGTCTCCGCGTAGCACCTCCGTTTTCCCTCCCAGTAGCAGCTCCACCCTGAGAAGATTCCGCCTCCGTCCCAGGGGCAGCCGCCGCCGGCCTGTTACCGGTACCAGCCATCCACCCAGCGAGATCAAAGTTGCCGGGGGCGGCACCACCACCACCGATGGCGCCTCTCGCAGCGCCGGAGACAGGGGAGGCGCGAGACTGCTTCTCGAATTCGGCGCGCATTTCGGGGTCCACTGGTCACGAGTTAGCAAGGCGTCCATGATACAACGCACCCGATATGAGAGAACGTAAGAACATACTATTATCCATCAACATGGGCATCCCAAACGTAAACCCCAAAGCGACCAAAGCCAGCAAAATCATCGGATTCTTAAACAGAGCCAAGGGCGAGACTACACCAGACAAAAGTGTCCACAGTCAGCCATAACTCCCCTTTTCTAAAAGTCACCAATCTCTACAAGGGGAAAGACTCACACGTGGAACGTTCCTCATAAAGCCCCCTCCTAGCAAGCACCTTCACGTCAACGGTGACATCCCTCCCAGACGCCGGCGCAGAAACATCAGCGAGGAATTTTTCCGCACCACGGTTATCCCAGGGATTTCCGCGAAAGGTCTCCCAGATACCGAGGACGGATCCATCCGCAGCGAGGTCGACTCTGTAGGGGGCGAAGATGTACTCTGCGGAGCGGATGTCGAGGAGGTAGGATGTTGGGGAGGAGGATTTGGGGAGGGCGGGGAAGGTGAAGGTTGCGGAGCGGGTAAGGGGGGCAGTTGATTTGTGTCCCTGGTCGTGGGCTCCTTCTGTGGGATTGTAGGAGGAGGAGGGGAGGGAGGTGAGTGTTGCGTGGGTTCCGGGTGGGAGGGTGTGCGGGTTTGGGAGGGCGTTTGAGGAGGGGATGGTGAGTGTTAGGAGGGATGAGGCTAGGGTGGCTGTTGCGAGGATGAAGAGGAGGAGGTAGCGGAATGGGCTGGGGAGAGCCATGTTGTTTTGAGTAGTCCTTGGACCTGAGATAGGCAAAAAACGAGGTGGTGAGGAGCGTGTTCAAAGGATGATGTCTACGGAAGAGCTGCGGTGGAGTTGCGATGGTCGATGCCAAGCCAGCCCAGCCCAAATCCATCATCGGCCGAGGTCACCATACCTATATCGCCTTACTTTCTACACTTTAACCACAAGTGACAGTCTATACTAACCAAATATCATACAGTGTCTTAAATACATCTATAATTTAGGATATATCCAGTTATCCTGCTGAACAGGTCCCGATATGTATGTCCGAAACCACAACAATATATACAGTGAAGGCTTTCGCCTTTCCTCATCAAAAATGGAACAAAAAAAGTCTACAGCTTCGCCTTGGGCGAGATCTGCGCGTTGGCCTCGGCGTATAATTGGTCCAGGAGTTCGCGGTAGGCCTTGACGGTAGGAGGACGCTTCAGTTTCAGGCTGTAGACAAATCAGTTAGACAAATTCCGAGCATAAAAAATGATAGTAAGCGGGGGAGGAACGTACGTAGGAGTCAGCAGGTTGTTATCCACAGTGAACGGATCAATCATCAAGGAGCAGTTCTTGACGCGCTCGTATCCCGCCAACTTGTGCTTCTTGGCCACCCGCTCGAGATCCTTGATCACGGCCTTGCGGACCTTATCGTCGTTCAGGACCGACTGGACGTCGGCCTCGGAGATGGTGCGGCCCAGGGCCTTGCTGGCGAATGGCGCAAAGGCCTCGGGCAGCACGCCGAAGATGCCCACCAAGAACGTCTCGACACTGTCGCCGTGGATGTAGGCCTGGGCGAAGTACCCGATCTCGGACATGTACACACCCTCCAGGCGCTCGGGGGAGATGTACTCGCCCTGGGCGAGCTTCAGGACGTTCTTCCGTCGGTCGATGATGACGATGCGGCCCTTCTCGTCGATCGTGCAGACGTCGCCGGTGCAGAACCATCCGTCCTCGGTCATGGCCTTGCTGGTCTCCTCGGGGTTCTTGAAGTACTCCTTGAAGACGTTGTGGCCGCGCAGGAGCAGCTCGCCGCGCGGGTAGGGCTTGTCATCGACGGAGTAGTTCATGTCGGGCAGGGACAGCAGGCACGCCTCCGTGCAGGGGGAGAGGCGGCCGCAATTGCCGCTCGTCAGATCGCGGGGCGACTGCACGCACGCCATGGCGTACGTCTCGGTCAGGCCGTAGCCCTGCACGACGTCGGATCCGGTGGCGACACGGAGGAAGTTGTGCAGCGTCGGATCGAGAGGCGCCGACCCGGAAACCATCAGGCGGGCGCGCTCCAGTCCCAGCGCCGCGGCGACCTTCTTGGCCCACACCCGGTCGTACAAGGCGTGCTTGACGGTGGCCTTGGACGGGTCCGGGTTCTTGAGGTTGGCCAACTTGGCGTCGACGACGTGTCGCGACAGGGCACCCTTGAAGCCGGGCTGCTCCACGGTCGAGGAGCGGATCACGTTGCCGAACCGGCTGTACAGACGGGGCACGGACATGAAACCCGTGGGCTTGAGCAGCTTGAGATCGTCGACCAGCTCCAGGATGTTCCCGTGGAAATAGCCGATGCGGGCGCCCGACCACAACGCCGCGTGCTCCGACAGACGAGCGTAGATGTGGGCCAATGGCAGGTAGGATATCATGGTGTCGGCGGCGGTCTGCTCGATGCCGACCAGACCACCCGTGGTCGCCGCCACGGAATTTTCATGGGTCAGAACCACACCCTTGGGGGGACCAGTGGTACCGGAGGTGTAGTTAATGGTGACGATATCGGACGGGGCCGGGGGGTTGTAAGGGCGCTTCGAGGCGGCGCCCAGCTGCTCCACCTCGTCGATGGTGTAGATGGAGACATCCTGACCGGCGGCGACGGACTCCAGGAGGGCACGCTTGGACTGACCGGGCTGCTCGCCGGCGTCGATCGGATCGAGACAGACGATCATCTTCAGGTTGGGCAGCATGGGCTTCAGCTTCAATAGCGTAGGAACGTGGGGGAGCGAAGTGACCACGCAGCTCAACTCGGCGTGGTTGATGATGTACTCGGTCGCATCGGGGGCCAGAACGTCGTAGATGGAGACGGAGTAGAGGCCCTGCGACATACAGGCCAGATCTGAATCAAGTTCTCATTAGCGTAATTCCCACCAATGTGATTGACCCTCACGAGACGCATACCGGTGATCTGCCACTCCGGGCGGTTTTGGCACCACAGTCCAATGCCGTACTGGCCAGCGCGAACGCAGTTATGCTTGTTGTGAAGTTCCACCAACCCTGCGCCAAATGCAGCGCGACGCTTCTGGACCGTTTGGTAATCTAACCACTGATAGGGACCATAGGTCTTCTTGACTGGGTTGTACGGACGCCACCCCAAACAGTGGTTCTTTGGGAGGCGGTTGGCGGCCGACTCGAAGACATCGTGGGCAGTGAGGACCTGTGGGTGACAAGAGATTAGAACCGACCCGGGAGAGTTCGAGAGCGGAAATAAGAGAGATGCATACCTGCGGGTCCAGGGTCTTGACGAGGCCCTTTTGGGTATTCCAGGCGCGATAGATGGGGCTGCGGCCCGGTTTCTCCGTACCAGGAATAGCGACGGAGTAAGGCTTGCCTTTGCGAGGTTCCTGGCGCAATTCCTCGGCACGCGCCAGGTGAACGGGTGGTTGAGAGAAAAACATTCTGTCTATATTCTAATCTTTGTGAAAGAAAAGAAGGTTAGCGACCAAGGAGATAAACACGGGGTATCATAGAACCTACAAGCCAAGCCGTCAAGAAAGACTTCTAGACCAGTCCAGATGAAAGATTGACGGGGAGGCAGCTCTGGAGAAGGAGGGGGTGGGGGGGAGGTAGGTCTTTTAAAAAAAGGGAAAAGCAAGAAAGAAACCCAAGCAATCCAGACTAGCTAAAAGGAACCAAGAAAGAAGAGAGAAAAGAAAGGAGAGGAATGGTTTAAAGGAGGATAGAGAAAGATCCATCCAAGCCCCCCCCGGGTGTCCAGAGGGGAAACGCGCTGAGTGGCCGAGCCAGAAATCGTGACGGGTTTTTTTGCCTCCACGAGGAGGAAGTACCTCGGCATGTAATGGTTTACTATCTTGAAATCATAACAATCCCAACAGTTATCTATTGACCTATTTTTGTTTTGATTTGATTTGTTTGGACTTGGCCTTCCTATTCTCTATCTCTCTGGTAGACTCTAGATGTCATGAATTATTCACATTGATCAATCTGGTAGATGTAACTGAGAACGATCACATTGATCACTATACAAACGGAATGCCGAGGCCTCAGGATCGGGCTTATGCATGCTCCAGAGTACAGCATAAGTGTCTTCCCTCCGGACACTAAACCCGATTCGGATATGTTCATTATTCCTTATGATCCTTGTGATCCGATCACAGGCCAACATCTTCTTTCTTTTTTCAACCGCTATCATTATTGTTTCAACTTCGGTTCTTGATATTATTATAACCATGATCATGATACGTGGGACGTCAATACAGTCCACACACCGACAGATCAAGGACACGTGGTACAACGAGTAAGAAATGATATCACCAAACAACCCAAGAATGATAAATCGGAAGAATCCTACCTATAAGGTAGTAGTCTCAGCACGGATCAACCATCGGAGACCCCGTCGGGACAAGTCTCACATGCATTCATTTCGGTGCCGACTCTGGGGTCACTGGTCAGAAGGGAAAAGCCCTTGGTTTCGGGTCATTGGCCCGATGAGTGGCCACTAACCATTGGCTACTATCAACTGGTCATCTACTGAGGAAGTCCCGTACCTACCTAGGTACCTAGTAGGAATCCTTGGCCACGCACCAACCAGGCTATGCAGTCCTAACTAACCAGATGACCCCCCCAAAGTTAGATAGGTTACTGGGTAACCCCGGAATTGGACGGACAGAAGTAATTTGATCACAATACGGGGTAGATCATTTTGCTTCTTCCCCCGTGGAGATTTCATGTGAAGACTGCTGCTTGACCTGAGGTATGGAGTAGTTCTACCTATCTTATTCCCGCATGCTGCTCCATGTGCTGCTCCATGCGAAACAGTCGCATGTAATGATTTTCATTGGTCTTTTTTTTTTTTTTTTTATTGCCCCCCTTTCGGGCTGCTTCGTAATTTCCCCCACTTTTATGCGATCATACTTACGGAGGACTCTAGCTATCAAGGGCCTCACCACAATACTGTGGAGAGACGGTCTGACCAATGCAAATGCTCGGATTTCACCAAAAAAAGAATATATATTCAAGGTAGTTCATAAACTATCAAATATCAATCACCAAAACTCCATGCCAATGCTAATCGATCGAAGGAGTCTAGAATATAGTACATATAAGAGTCGCACTATATACCATTAGGGAAAGAAAAAAAAAAAAAAAAAGACAGAAAGAATCGAAAAACACGCTCAAAATACGGGATGGCTCGGTAAGCCTACCCCAGAACTGCACTGTACACACGCTTGTACCATTTGGTCCGCGGCGTCGTCTCCCACATCTCATTCTCCAGCATCGTGCGCCCCGTGTCTATGTCCGCGTCTTCCGGTCGGACAAACGACGGCCGCGCGATGACCTTGTGCCCCACGTAGAGCACCACAAACAGGATCAAGCTGAGGTACGCGATGAAGAAGTCTGTGACGTTGAAGGTCGGGATGAACGCTGTGAACCCCTGCGTGATGATGATGAGGGTGTTGAAGAACAGCCCGTACCACGAGTACCACGGCTGCCAGATGGCTTTGTATGGGAGGAGATCGCGAGAGATGTCACGTGTCTTTAGAGCCCGCATGAAGGCGAGATGGCAGGCGTTGAGCGACCCCCACGTGATGAATCCGGCCACGCCGGAGATGTTAAGGAGCCAGTTGAACACCGTGCTGCCGGCGTTGGAGACATTCATGAATCCAAGGAGCCCGAAGGCAGCGGTGAACGCGACGCTGTAGTAGGGCACGCCGTGCTTGTTGGTCTTCTTGAAGATCCGCGGTGCCAGACCCTCCTGGGCCAGACCGATCAGCACACGGCTCCCGCTGTAGACGTTGGAGTTGGCCGCGGAGAGCACCACCGTCAGCAACACGCCGTTGATGATATGGGGCAGGATGCGGACCCCGGCAAGCCGGGCGGCGATGACGAACGGCGAGGAGTTGGCATCATTGCCATCCGTGAGAAGGCGGCTGTCGTCGGACGGCACGATCAGACCAATGAAGAAAATGGTCAACACGAAGAAGAACAGGATCCGAAAGAAGGTCTTGCGGATGGCCGAGGGCACGGTCTCCCGGGGATTCTCGGTCTCGGCCGCTGCGATACCCACGAGTTCAGTCCCCTGGTACGAGAAACCAGCCTGGATCAACACGGCCCAGAACCCAACGAATTTAGCCGTCGAATCGGACTGGACCGAGTCATACGGGACAAACGGCCCCGGGTCCACCCAGTAACGGAACCCCAGATACCCCTTGTCTCCAACACCGGCATCGACGCAAATCGCAAAGATCATGAACCCGATCACCGTGATCACCTTGATGCTAGCAAACCAAAACTCCAGTTCACCATAAAAGTTGACCGGAAGAAAGTTGAGCAGGGTGATCACGACCCAGAAGATGGCGATGAAGATAGCGATATTGATCGATTGGTCCCAGAATTGGATAATGAGGCCCGTTGCCGTCAGCTCCAGGGCAAATGTGCTGGCCCAGGAGAACCAATAGATCCAACCCATGGCAAAACCGAGACTGGGGTCAATCAAGCGCGCCGCATAGGCGGTGAATGCTCCAGGAATGGGGATGTAGGTGGCAATCTCGCCCAACGAAGTCATGACGGAGTAGACGATGGAACCGACGAAGAGGTAGGCGATCAGGGCGCCGACGGGACCGCCATTGGCAATCGCGGTGCCACTACTGATGAAGAGACCGGTGCCGATAGTACCGCCTAGGGGAAGTCCAAGTGTCAGTGTCGATAGGTGAGGGAGGCAGAAAGTGAGCCATACCGATAGCGATCATCTGCAGATGCCTGCTCTTCAACTTCCGCTTGAGATCCGGCAGCGGATTGGACTCGCTGTTGGCGCCATGCTTCTCGCAGTCCATGTCGTTCAACTCTTGGGACGGGGGGTCAACCTGGACAGCATCGTCGGCGGTCGTCTTTGCCCCATCGAATGATTTTGTGTCGGAGGCCATCGCTGGCCATGCAAGGACCGATCGTCAGAGGGAATCGAACTCGAACGCGGGTTTGAAAAACGGTGTCGGCAGCGTTTTGCGAACCGGGAGGTGCGAAAGAGAGTGTAGAAAAACCGGCGGACCGACTGGGAGACCCCACTTAACGTAGTCGAACGATATCCCCACTTGAGTTCTTTCACTTTACAGTCTGCAAGATTATGACCGATCCTTTCCTTTTTTCTTCTCTTTTATTTTGCGTTCTCCAGTGTCACCAGTGGAGTTCCCCGAGAGTGAAACGAGGAGAGAGGCGATTGATAAGAAAAGACCGAGATAAAGAAGCAGGTATGACGAATAAGAACACCAAAGATAATAACGAAAAAGTATAGCGAAGCAGACGATCTTAGGTAAAAAGAATGATCAAGTTGAGGGGGAGACGGAAAAGTCTCCTCACGACCATACCGAATGCAACACTGCAAGATAGACGAGATCAGCCGTGGAACTATAACCACGATAGTAAGGATCGAATCTGTATCATCGGTTACAAGTGGAAGGGTTTTTCCCCGTCCTTTTTTACTTTTCATTACTATTTTCTGACTCAACTGGAGTGCCACCCTAGTCATAAACTTCCAGTCTTCCACCCGTCAAGCTGATACTGACTACCTTAGATCAATCGAAGTGGGTCTATCGGTGTGCGGCAGCCTGAGGCCTGCTCTTCGGCGCCACCCGAATCCCAAGCAGTCGCAGAAGCACTTTAGGCTCTAGCAGAGTTTTCCTTCTACGCCGGGACTCCGGCAAGCCCTCGGCTATTACTGCGTACAGGGTATCGTGTCTAAAGATAGGTGTATACCAGACAGTGCTAAAGCTCGATGGCAATTTTTTTTTTGTTATGGATTGTTTCTTTTCTTTTTCTTTTCTTTTGACTTTGCGCTCGTGTTTGTCGCCGAATTCATTGACTATAGAGTGACTACTGCAGGCCGACGGATCCTGCGTCCTTACATGGTTGTCGCGGTCATCAGTGGGTCGATATTTACTGCCATCAAGAGATATACAGTGAGGGAACAATCCTGATTCAGCTGAATAGAAATAGAGAATAAAATAAGCTCAATCAAATCATGTCAGAGAAACAAGACTACCGATCTACTACATATCGTACTATCATACTACTTCATGTCATGTGGAGAAAGAAGAGTTCTTTTTCAGTCCAGCAGTTAAAATTGGATTCAAACAAGCATAAGACAGTTACGGGTCTTTCACTTGAATGATTCCAGACAAAAGTAAACTGATTTCTTGGGCTGTTCGCGAGTCGCGCGGCATTAATTAGCGCCAGAGTAGGCACGTTCATCGTAACACATCCCGCCACGGCAAGGGTATCAAAAAGTCGTATCATCCATGAAGTCGACCGGGAGTTTCGCGGCGGGATAACTTCAAATAAAAAAGGTAGGAAAAAAAAAAGCATGATTGCAAGCATTTCACAACACCGATCCGCTCCTTAAACACCCAGGTTGACGGTGGTCGTCGGAGGAGCATTCCCCGACCTGCCCTCCCGGTGAGTTCGGAGAGCACCCAGTCCAGCAAAGACGGCAGTGACCATAAACAGCACCCTAGTCGTCCATTAACACGAGATCATCCCAATCCATGGGGGAGAGAACATACCATTCGAAAGCGCCAAACACCGTAGCCGCCTGCAGGGAATTACACAGCCCCCCATGGCACAATCGGGGCGGGGGCAAGATAGTCGCTGTTGCCACGAAACCTGCGAACCAGAAGATCGCAGTGACTGCCTCTACTGCAGGTACGACAAACTGAAGCGCCGCGTGGGGGAAGAACGCCGGTGCGAAGGCGAGATAGGGCGTAGCGATGAATGCCGTCCAGATGCCATTGAAGAGCATGAAGTTGACGGTATCGCTACTCACGGGTATATTGATGGCTGCATCACAATTAGTTCTAGGCTAGATGGAAGAAAGAAAGACAACCGACCATATGCTGCCAAACCGAGCACTATTATGCCGAAGACGACTTGCACGACCCGTACGGGATAGATCCAGGGAAAATTGAGCTGCATGATGCAATGAATGAATGAGTCTTTCGGTGTTGGATTAGTATAGCTTGTAACTCCCAGCACCAACGTTGAAGTTTTCCCAATAAAAAAAAGGGTTTTCTTTAATGAAAATTCTAGCTGCCTTGTGGGACACCTGCCAGCAGAGACAGCAGACGGGAACCTCCCTGATTATAACGGTCCTTTTTTTAAGGCAGTCATTTTGGCAAGAGCCCTGGAGGGGCGGACGTCATCTGAGGCGCACTCGTATTGGGCGCGTTTGATTCGTAAAGGGTGCATTAGCGGGGATATTCCTTGGTTGTCCGAGTTTTTCATTGATTAATTTGCTAGTTTGCTAGGTACCTAACATTCTTCGAGGCAGGGATAGGGCTTGGACGGGAAAATAGCCGTCCGATGACGACAGTGGATGGAGCTGAGAGGACAAATATAGTCTAGGTAGCAGCATACCTCGTGTTTGGCCTCCACACGTCGTGGCGTTGGCATGATGATCACCAGTCAGTTCTAAATACATACTCCGTACGGAGTACTTTTTGTCGCGGACTAGTTAGTTAGATGCAATGAGTCAGATGACTTTGTTTGTTTAGGGCCAGGTCCTTGTGGCTGTAGCTCTTCCTGAATGAGGTCGGAAATAAATTATCGCGTCCTTCCAGCAAATTAATTAAACGATGAATCCCAACCAATGTGGCTGATGTCGATCCATTGGGGTAGCTCTATACTCGGTAGAGCGATATTTGCCCCGACGCGTCTATCCGATTTCTCCAGTACCTGCCTATATCGTGGCGTCCGGATGTACAATTAGCGGAGATCCATATGTCAAGGAGATCTTTGACAGCTGACCACTTAACCAGACTTCGAGTCAATTGGTATTTTAGGACCCCACAATCAATTGAAGGAACAGAGGAAGAAGATCCGGAAAAGGAAATATGGGGAAGAGGTCTAAAGATTGGTTGTCCCGCAGTCGCCGACTTCGCACCCCTCATGTTCTCCTCAAATCACGCCATCGCCCTGTATAACTATAGCTCTCCTTCCAACCATACTAACTTTCCTCCCGCACTTTGAACCCCTCCTCTCTTTCATCCCTGACTGATCCCCCAAGTCTTATCATCATGTCTGCTCAACAGCCTCGTTTCGAGACTCTCCAGCTTCACGCAGGGTACGGTTTGAGCCCCACAAGGCAGTGTGACCGTTGACTGACAACTCTCCAGTCAGGAACCTGACCCCACAACCAACGCTCGCGCGGTGCCCATCTATGCCACCACCGTAAGACATCTCTCGTCATCTGTCTACGAGGCTCAGTTGCTCACCAACATCAGTCCTACTCCTTCAATGACTCCGCCCACGGCGCGAGGCTGTTTGGCCTCCAAGAATTCGGAAACATCTACAGTCGCATCATGAATGTAAGTGCCTCCATCCAATCCAACACCTGGATGGGCGACTAATAGACTCCAGCCGACGGTCGATGTCTTCGAGAAGCGCATTGCGGCCCTCGAAGGCGGCGTGGCTGCTGTTGCCGCCTCTTCCGGTCAGGCCGCGCAGTTCATGGCCGTCGCCGCCCTGGCCCACGCTGGGGACAACATTGTCTCCACCAGCAACCTCTACGGTGGCACCTACAACCAATTCAAGGTCATGTTCCCTCGCTTGGGGATCAACACCAAATTCGTCCAGGGAGATAAGCCCGAGGACATCGGTGCGGCCATTGATGATCGCACCAAGGCCGTTTACGTTGAGACCATCGGGAACCCTCGGTACAATGTTCCGGATTTTGAAGCGATCGCCAAGGTTGCGCACGAAAAGGGTGTTCCCCTAGTTGTATGTTTACCCCACCTTTCCCTCTTTCTCTTATATTTATTACTATTATTGTTGCTATTTGTGTTTTCTGTGCCGTGAACAAGACTGCTGTGATCTAACAGAATACAGGTGGACAACACGTTCGGAGCCGGCGGTTACTTCTGTCGTCCAATCGAGCACGGCGCCGACATTGTCGTCCACAGCGCTACCAAGTGGATCGGCGGGCACGGTACCACCATTGGCGGTGTTGTTGTGGACAGCGGGAAATTCGACTGGGGCAAGCACGCCGCGCGATTCCCCCAGATGGTCGAGCCCTCGGAAGGCTATCACGGCCTGAAGTTCTGGGAGACGTTCGGTCCCCTGGCGTTTGCCCTTCGCGTGCGGGTGGAGATCCTCCGTGACCTCGGATCGGCACTGAACCCGTTCGCTGCCCAGCAGCTCCTGCTCGGCATCGAGACGCTGAGTCTGCGTGGTGAGCGTCACGCGACCAACGCCGTCGCCTTGGCCAACTGGCTCCGCAAGAACGAGAACGTCAGCTGGGTGTCCTACCCCGGTCTGGAAGACCACCCCAGCCACGAAACCGCGAAGCGCTACCTGCCCCGCGGCTTCGGAGGTGTCCTCTCCTTCGGCGTCAAGGGCGGTGCCACCGCCGGTAGTCAAGTCGTGGACGGGTTCAAGTTGATCTCGAACCTTGCCAAGTAAGCCTTCCCCCCCCCCAATTAACTACCACCATCTAAGATTCCATCTAATCATGTGACAACAGCGTCGGCGACTCCAAGACTCTGGCCATCCACCCCTGGTCCACGACACACCAGCAGCTCAGCAACCAGGAGCGTCTCGATTCCGGCGTGGCAGAAGATGCGATCCGCATCTCGGTCGGCACAGAGCACATCGACGACATCATCGCCGACTTCGAGCAGTCCTTCAAGGCATCGAGCGCTGTGAACGCTGGCCAGTAAATTCTAAACCAAAAACCTGATCCCCAGATGTATATGGCTGTCTCCTTCCCCCCCGCCCTTGTGAATCAATCACTTGAGAGAACGGGGCGTGGCACCTGTGCCAAGTGATGTTGAACATGACTTTGATTAGATGGATGTTGACGCTTGTGATCTGGTATATATAATGACGATTTTTCATGATAGAGCAAGTAATTTATGGTAAACGGTTTGATATTATGAATAGGTGGTTTTATAACTACTTGACCCAAGTTTTGGGTATATACTATCTTCTCAGGCGTGGGGGAACACCTGACCGACTGGGGCATACAGACATACATACATAAGTCTAGCAGAGACATGACTACAAACAAGACATCTCGAAAAGAACCATCAAGACATCCAACAACCATTCAAGTAGAAAGTTAGATAATGAACAATAAATAAATGATGAATAAAATAAGCAGTTAAAAGTGTAATACAAGCAGCAGAGAAGAACTTCCCTCTCAATGGTAGAAAAAAAAAGAAAAGATAAAACAACAAAACGAAGACCAGACCGCCCAAAAAACCATCCAGTACTGAGATTCTCTCACAGGGAAAGAAAAAAAATAAAATGAAAAGTAAAAAGAGGGGTGTAGAGTGTTGGTGACCTTCGTAAGGAGGCTTCAAATGATATAACACTACCACTCCACTACCCCCGTGGTACATGATCACTGCCATTTTGGCATACATGTGCAGCTGTTGGTCGGTAAACCTTTTTTTGTCTCGAAAGCAATGACCTGGTGAACGCCGGATTCCTATTCAACAAACAACAAGGAAGGAAACAAAAGGGGGAAGAGATAAAAGAAATGTACAGGCGGTTTGAATAAGAGAAAGGGAAAAGACGAAAAAACAGTCATATCAGGTGACAGTTAGACATTATATTCATCGGGTCAGACCTTAGTTTCCTCCCTGGCCTGGGGGAGGCGGCTGTGTGGAGCCTCCGGCGCCAGCGCCTCCCATCATGAAGCCAGGAGGAAACATCGGCATACCGGGGAATGAGAAACCGAAGCCAGGGACGGCAGGAGGCACCCCAATGTTACCCACATTGGAGGTGTCCCGATCGACTGAGCCGCTAGGTCCGCCAGGACCAACTGGCTTCCCGCCTTGAGGGTCAGGGTGTTCTGGCCGGCGACCACCTCGAGGATCTTGCTGGGTGCGCGATGACACGGGGCCTCGCTTGCCACCGGTATCGGTCGCGATACGTCTGCTGATGGCTGTTCTCCTAGTCAGTATTGATGGTGATGCGGGGGATATGTGCAGGACGAACCTTTCGAAGAAACGCCGGCGCCGATCTCAATGTCGGGCTCTTCCACGACCATGCCGGATTCAATGGGCCGTCCTCCGGTGCCGCCATACTCGGCGTTGACCATCCATTTGCGATCAGCCTCGGTGAGCCTCTCGATAGGGATCACACTGACGCCGGTCTGATAGTCGCTGCAGTCACGAGGGCCAAATCCTACGCCCCATCGGGTCTGGAAATAACGTTAGCGTCGGGTCGGTTGTATCATGATTCCAATTCACTTACTCGCAATTGCATGTCGCCAGACTTGTATGATTCCATTCCGTCACGAGCATTGATGGCATCGGTTCGGCCGATCATCTTGATAAACGCATGGCGCTTATCGATATTGACGATACAAGTTTGGACGATACCGAACTTGGAGAAAAGAGAGCGTAGATGAGCCTCGGATGATCTGGAATTGTCAGTATAATTGGGGTCCTCAAGGATATCAGAAGACTTACGTTACACCACCGACGAACAAAGTTCGACTCAGAACTAGAATAACGGTTAGTGACCGGGGTTAGGGAGCAGCGTGGGGAGGATCCGACTCACCTTTGATGCATCCTTGTCCAATAGAGTAGTCCCATTCGATAAGCTTGGGTCCCGGTGGAGGCAGGGCTGGATCCTTGCGAGGGGACGGCGAGCGGCGTCTGCGTCCGGGAGGGCTGCGCTGGCGGTAGTCGTTGCCACGTCGGCCGCGGGGATCTCCGCCGCGGCGACCGGGGGAGTCACCGTGGTACTCGCCATAGACGGGGCTATCGCGGCGTCGCGGGGGGGAGGCCTCGCGACGTCTATCCCAACCGCCAGGAGAGCGCGAACGGCGACGATACTGGTTAGGAGGCGAACGCATGTAGTCACGTTCTCGCTCACGCTCGCGATCAAAATCGCGCGTCTGCGAGTCGGCACGGCCACCCCAAGCATTGTTGACGTTCTGGCCCGGGAAATTGAAACCGGGGACCTGGGGGGCAGTCATGTTGCCCATGCCTCCGGCATTGGACAAGCTGAGGATCTGCAGGGCTGTAGCCCACTGGTCTTGGGGAATTCCCTGTGCAGCCAAGAGCTGCAGGAGTTGAAGCTGCTGCTGCAGGGCGTCGGGCCCCGGCATGCCAGGGGTTTGCTGAGCCGGAACTGCAGCAGTTGCCTGGGGAAGGAGGGCCGCCAGAGGGTTCGCAGCCATGGGGTTCGGGGGCGTGTGGCTCTGCGTCGGGGCCATACTTAACGCCGCGAAGGGCGTGGCCATGGAGCCAGCAGTGTAGGGGTTTACGCCGGCCTGTCCATTCAGTGTCGTGGGGTCCGGCTGTGGCACTGACGGGGCCGAATAGGCACCAAGAGGGTTAGCAGGCGCGGACACTGCCGGTGCTGCCGGAGCCGCCGTATTCTGTTTGGCCATGTCTGCCAAAGCTTTGAGAATACTCGACGTGTCCGGCGCCGATTGCGCTGGGGTTCCTGAAGCGGCACCATTGGCTTGGGGTTGGGCGCCTAGCATGTTAGGTGCCGGAGACCCCTCGGGAGTAGTGCTTTCGATATCTAAGAAAGGGTTAGGGTCTCTCCACGACCGGTTGTCTAGAAAGGGAACGGATGTCGCTTACTGTGTGCAGGTGCATTCAATTTCTGCTTGAACGAGGCGAGCATAGGCGCAGGGAAAGTGTATCCCCGCTCCCAAATGTCCACCAACTTCTTGATTTTTTCCTATATCAGAGCAAAAAAGTATTAGGGCCATGTTATTCGTCACAATAAGCTAGAAGAGAGCGTGAATCTATGCAGGGTATAGGGGATACGTAGTAGTGGGGGGGTAGTGCAGGAGATACGCAGGTCGAACGACCCTAAGAGAGGTTGGGGCGCTGCCTTTATATCGGCCTATGCATGCCCGCACTCTGAAGTATTTCGTCCTTTCTTTTTTGGTTTGGTGTGTTTTCTTGTTGTTTTTTTTTGCTAAAGCCATGTGTCCAGCGTACCTTTTGATCTTCAGGAGCATTGTTTATGATATCCGTCATTAAGACAGGTAATAATTCGGTCACTCTGTTCACGCCAGCGGCAAAGGTTCCATCGGGAGCTGCGCTACCAGCTTGTTGGCCTGATTTGCGCGCTGCTTCTACCCACTGTCGAGTTACAGAGTCTACGACATAGAGTACGCCCAATTTGTGTGTCCCTGGAGCCTTTTTGAAGTGCGTATAGATCTTCTGGATGAGAACGGACTCGTTCTAGAGGAGATTTATGTTAACAAGCTGTATGCCACGAATGGCGCAAGGGTCATTTACCTGGACGTTGGCTGTACAGAGAGAGGTGATGCTGTTGATCTTAGAACCTGACACGCCCGGAGGCTTGAGGGCAAGCATCGACTGCAGATAGTTATCCAACTCTGCTACAGCGGAAGACATGGTTGGTTATGATGTCTGGGTTTCCTGGACGAGAGAACAACAATAGAGAGAAAAAAGAACTATCTGTTCTGAGTGCGAAGGCAAGCGAGACCTCAGTCGTGATCTACCGGTGATCCAGTACTGTTTTATGTCTTAAACCAGGAGAGGGCGACCGAATTTGGCCTCTTGTTGATACCAGGTTCTTAAGCGGACTTTCTTGCCGGGTCACTACTGATCCCACGACTGTACTTTGGGAGGACCAGGGCCTTCCGCCTACAGCTGGAACACAGCCAAGCGATCGTGTCCAGGGCTTTTGCGACTCGCGAACGAGCACGTGTACAGGGTACGACCTAAAGCGTGGAAAAAAATCACACGATAAAGAACACAAGCAGACGACGAGTTACAGGGAGATTAGATAGAAGATGAGTAGAAAAGAGGTGAGAAGAGGGTGATGGGGATGGCGAGAGGAGGAAGAAGGAGGGAAGGAGAAGAAAAATGAACAAAGATTCAGCCTGCGAGTGAGGAGAAAATTGCAATTTCCACACTAGCGACGAAGGGGTACCACGTGACCTCGTACTGGGTGGCCTGAGGCAAGAGGGTGGCTCATCTGTCCTATTAGGGTGGACTAAATATAGTTTTGAGTGTTGACACTGCCTTCCTCCCCCATTTGGAACATCGCCCATATGCTGAGACTCTCTCGATCGTTTAGATCTGCCCAAGTGGTTCAGATGTGAAACATATAGATCGGATGTTGAAACTTGATACCGCCTGCATTGGTTTCAGTTATACCTATCAAGTCACTCCATACCAAGTTACAGTACTGCTCTCCAAATAATTCAGTGGTACGCTGTATATCTAGTGCAAGTCAACCTTGATTGAGTCTAATATATTGAGTGTGTAGTGATAGAATTCTGTCTTTAATATGCTCTACTATTGAATCATAACCACCAGGGTGTCGGTGCGTCACTTGGTCCGCTGCATAAGTGTTGTGTATAGATTATACAATACATGCCCTAACAAAGAAATGCAGGTCACATGATATCACGTGGAAAGACATTATGACGTCCAGCCCCGTCAACCGTCCCGGTGAGTCCATAAGGTAATGGCATCAGTCCGAACGGAGAAGATTGATTGATTATATTACTGTGGGTCTCTCCTTAGTCGGTAGTCACAAGAGTAAGAAAAAAAAATTTACATTGACAATGTTCATCTCTTTAAAAGATTACGTATCAAAGGTATCCGCTTCCAATTTCCAGTCCACGTAATATTCGAAACAGATATACGTCTTGGAATCAACCAGAAGAGATTCCAACAAGAAAGATATATCCTTTTATGGAAGAGGCGAAAAAAGAGAATCAAAAAGGGAAAAAAGAGAAAGGAAAAAAAAAAGGCCCACCCCCATAAACTCAGTCTAAGCCCGAATGGCGACTTGCCGACGTCACTAGCCTTGAGCTGAATGGGCGGTAGTGTTGAATATCGGTCCCGTTCACGGGCACCCAAAAGTTCCAAGGGACCATGGAAAGAGAGACTTTCGTCGATACTCAGTTATCTGATGACGCCAGGGCCTCCCTAGGTCTAGCACAGTGGCACACGGACTAGATTGATTGATAGATTGTATGATGGGATTGAAGCTTAACAAGAACTGAGGATTGCGATCTATAGAATCTATAGAGAGAGATCTCAGTCAGATATTGACGGGACAGTAGCGATGGAGAACTATCGTGATCTCCAAGATAGGTGGTATCTCGGTGGACGGAAGATGGCGGGTAGAAGGACAAGCCGTGCGAAGAACAAGTAGAAATTATCACAGGGAGAAGAAAAAGACGGGTTGGAATTTCGGGAGACCGGCCTGGAATGGAGGGTGACCGTATTTTACACCTGCTCGCCATTGTCTTGCCCACATCTGAATCATTACCGTACGGCCCATGTACCGGCTGTACGGCCAGATGGAAAAAAATTGGGCCATCTCCCCGGGAGCTTCATCAACTCTCTCTCTCCCGCTTCTCCTTCTCTCTTCTCCCTTTCTTTCTTCTTTGATCGAGCATTCCTTCCCTTGGTCATTCTTCCTCTCCTCTCTCCCATTCTCTCAACCTTTTCGTTTCCCCTAAATCTACTAGGGTCTTTTCGATATGGCGTCCACATTGAGACTCGGAACGTCTGCTCTGCGTTCCTCTACCTTTGCCAGCAAGCCCGTTGTTCAGTCTGCTGCCTTCAATGGCCTGCGCTGCTACTCGAGCAAGGCTAAGGTAACCATTTCCCTTTCTCGGCGATCTCTGTCGCAAGTTATACTGACGTCAATGCGTCTCTAGTCTCTGAAGGAGACCTTCGCCGACAACCTTCCCGCCGAGATCGAGAAGGTCAAGAAGCTCAGAAAGTATGCCTGTTCGCCCACTCGCTTTTGATACCTTGGTGCAAATGATTGCTAACGGAGCTCGAAAACTACAGGGAGCATGGCAACAAGGTCATCGGTGAGGTCACTCTTGACCAGGTCTACGGTGGTGCCCGTGGCATCAAGTCCCTCGTGTGGGAGGTGAGTGCCTATCACAGGTCGTGAGGTCGGAAAAAAAAAAAGTTAACATCGTCATTAGGGCTCCGTCCTCGACTCCGAGGAGGGTATCCGCTTCCGTGGCCTTACCGTAAGTTGTCATCTCTCTCCCCCAATTGCGGTCACAATACTCATGTTGCCATTAGATCCCTGAGTGCCAGAAGCTCCTCCCCAAGGCCCCTGGTGGCCAGGAGCCCCTGCCCGAAGGCCTCTTCTGGCTGCTCCTGACCGGCGAGGTCCCCTCCGAGCAGCAGGTCCGCGACCTGTCCGCCGAGTGGGCTGCCCGCTCCGACCTCCCCAAGTTCGTTGAGGAGCTCATCGACCGCTGCCCCAGCACCCTCCACCCCATGGCCCAGTTCTCCCTCGCCGTGACCGCCCTCGAGCACGAGTCTTCCTTCGCCAAGGCCTATGCCAAGGGTATCAACAAGAAGGACTACTGGAACTACACCTTCGAGGACTCCATGGACCTCATTGCCAAGCTGCCCAACATTGCCTCCCGCATCTACCGCAACATCTTCAAGGATGGCAAGGTCGCCCCCATCCAGAAGGACAAGGATTACTCCTTCAACTTGGCCAACCAGCTCGGCTTCGGCGGCAACAGCGACTTCGTTGAGCTGATGCGTCTGTACCTGACCATCCACACCGACCACGAGGGTGGCAACGTCAGCGCCCACACCACCCACCTGGTCGGCAGCGCCCTGAGCTCCCCCATGCTCTCCCTGTCTGCCGGTCTCAACGGCCTGGCTGGTCCCCTGCACGGCCTGTAGGTTGCCCCGAACCCGAATGTTCCCCCCCCACCTTAGGACAACCATCTAATCTTTCAACAGGGCCAACCAGGAGGTGCTGAACTGGCTCACCAAGATGAAGGCCGCCATTGGCAACGACCTGAGCGACCAGGCCATCAAGGACTACCTGTGGTCCACCCTGAAGGCCGGCCAGGTCGTCCCCGGCTACGGCCACGCCGTCCTGCGCAAGACCGATCCCCGCTACGTGTCTCAGCGCGAGTTTGCCCTCCGCAAGCTGCCCGATGACCCCATGTTCAAGCTGGTCAGCCAGGTCTACAAGATCGCCCCCGGTGTCCTGACCGAGCACGGCAAGACCAAGAACCCCTTCCCCAACGTTGACGCTGTAAGTTGCCATTTTGACGAACCACCTTGACCCTTGCTAATCCTTTCCTAGCACTCTGGTGTGCTCCTGCAGTACTACGGTCTGACCGAGGCCAACTACTACACCGTCCTGTTCGGTGTGTCGCGTGCCCTGGGTGTCCTGCCCCAGCTGATCATCGACCGTGGTCTGGGTGCCCCCATCGAGCGCCCCAAGAGCTTCAGCACCGAGGCCTACGCCAAGCTGGTCGGCGCTAAGTTCTAAATTTGTCGAATGGTTTGAAAAGCGCCGGGGAATTTTTTTTCTTTTAACGATATAGCACATTTTTGTATTATTCTTTAGACTGGGACCGGTGGAGTGTTGGGGTGGGGTTGGTTCGATTATTGTATGATAGGACTTGGTTCGAGCGGGCCTTATAGGAACAACACTTCCAGAATCCACGTCAATTCTCCATACCCTTCTTAGTCGGCATGCCCTGTGCGCGAAACCGACGTCACCGACCATGAAGCCGTAGAACCGTCAGTGCTCCGTCTTGCGAAAGCTCGTGCCGGTTGGGGGTGTAGACCCAATTCGGCAAAGTAGCTCATATTGAGCTCGAGACTTATTCCCTCGTGAACTGCCCACGAATGCTTATTTGAAACCACCGAACTTCCCGGACCGATCCTAGCACCTTCGCTAAGCTATCGAAGATAGAGCTCGGGGTCTCCCGACACATGCAAGGGGTTCCGACATAACAAGGACAGCTTGAATATCTGTGAAATAGAATCGGGGGAGGGGGGGGAACCGAGATCTGCATACTCTACGAAATACGGTGTCCTAACGGGGCAAGATTCGGACCCAGCTTAGCTTTGGATTTCCTGTGACGGTATTACCGTTGATGGTCGAGTAAAGCCACCGTCTCATTCCCGAGTATGTTGTCCATTGTGGTCCTGTCCAGCCACTATATCATGACAATTGTCGAGACAACCCTGTGGGGACCGTCGTCATCATCACAAGGAATTGCAGGATCAGAGCACGAAGGTCGGTCAGATCGCTTAAAAACAATCGATGAAAGGGTTGAGCTTGCGCCCCAAGGCAGACGCTAAGCACCTAGATAGATAGAAATAAGTGGGTAGAAACAGTCCCCCCCGTATAGAGCTGAGAAAAGAAGTATGGAAGCTACAGCGCAGCCTCGGTCCCGAGGTTGACCGCATCCGCTTTAGGATCATCAGGTCGGAGGGAAGGGAGCACAACTCCGTGGATAAATCCGATTGCATGTGTTGGCACTAGTCCGGAAGAAGGAGGCGGTGACCCCTGAGACTTGTCCCTGGTCTTGAACTGTTCTGGCGTGGACTCAGGCTCTCAACTGTTGCTCGATCGGGTTTCCGGCGCGCATTGTTGAGAGGGTCCGATTTGCTCCGGGCCCCAACTATGGGTCGGAGGATGGCCGACCGCTATCGGTCTATCATGGATCTGATCCGATTATGATCATGATTCTGGAATGATTTCAGATATGATGGGGGCAAATTAGATTCATCAGTATTGTAAATCATTAGGGTCACTGAGTAGGAATCAATCACTCACTGTAACTCTGAAGTAAGGATATCAACCGCAGGAGTGAGCGCGGTGAACCTCAGGCAAGATACCAAAGAGGCTAGCCTGATCGGTGTATCATCTAGACTCGTCACTCTCTCTCTCTCTTTCGCCCCAGGCAGCCAAGCCCAAAGCTGGATACTCCAAACTGTTTGTTTGGCCCCTTCCCCATATTTCCTCCTCCTCTTCTCCCCTATTTGATCCGCGACTTTCCTTCCATCCGCCGATTTACTTGTCTCCATTCCTCCATTCTAATTCTACTACCCACTTCTCCCCCTCAAATTCCATCAACTAAGAACCGGTACCCGATTCGTCTCTGACTTTCTCCGCGCTGACGTTATCCCGTCGCCGTTCTCTCCGTACTTTGTTCTTCCTTGTCGTGATCCTTTAACCGACGAAAACTTCCCCCCCCCCTCCCCTCCCCTCTTACTCCGACATCCCTTGGTCAGGGCCCCTTTCAGTACTCCCCAAGGTTAAAGATGTCTACTACTACGCCTGCAACGGCCTCTGATGGCCCCAAGCTCGAGAAGAAGCCGGTCAAGTTCAGCAACTTGTTGCGTATGTCCCTCTCTTTCCCCACCGCATGAGAGAAAGATGAAAAGGAAAAGAAGACACCTGTTTTCTTTTCTACCTACTTCGTACAAAGCAGAAGAAGGGGGAAAGAAAGAAACAACCTTGCCATGGATGATTCTAACATGATTCTACTACAGTGGGCGCAGGTCTCAACATGTTCGAGTAAGTATCCTGTCTGCCTTGTGTGGCCTACAAAGAACTACCCAATACTAACGTGATTCAGGGTCACCTCCTTGGGACAGGTATGATTGACTCGTGAAAGTCACCCCCCGGGGTATACCAAAGCTAACCCTGTCAGCCGCTGGAAGTGATCAAGACAACCATGGCCGCCAACCGAGGTGACAGCTTCGCCGGCGCTATGGGTCGGATATGGGGTCGTGGCGGGATCCTCGGCTGTAAGTTACCACCCTTCCGTGCACCGTCTTCCGGTACGGCGCCTGATTCCATTTTTGCGCAGACTACCAAGGTCTCATTCCGTGGGCCTGGATTGAGGCCTCCACCAAGGGCGCTGTCCTCCTCTTCGTCGCGTCCGAGGCGGAGTACTATGCCAAGGTGGCGGGCGCTCCGGACTTCCTCGCTGGTATCTCCGGAGGTATGGCCGGTGGTGTCGCTCAAGCCTATGCGACCATGGGTTTCTGCACCTGCATGAAGACGGTGGAGATCACCAAGCACAAGATGGCCTCCCAGGGGGTGAAGCCTCCCAGCACCTTTGCGACCTTCATGGACATCTACCGCCGGGAGGGAATCCGGGGTATCAACCGCGGCGTGAACGCGGTCGCCATCCGCCAGACTACGAACTGGGGCTCCCGTTTCGGTCTCTCGCGTCTGGCCGAGTCCGCCATCCGTAGCGTCACGGGCAAGGACGAGAAGGAGAAGCTCGGCGCGGCGGAGAAGGTCCTCGCCTCGGGACTCGGTGGTGGTCTTTCGGCCTGGAACCAGCCCATCGAGGTGATCCGTGTGGAGATGCAGAGCAAGACCGAAGACCCGAACCGACCCAAGAACCTGACCGTCGGCAAGGCCTTCAAGTACATCTACGACAGCAACGGCGTCAAGGGTCTCTATCGCGGTGTCACTCCCCGCATAGGCCTGGGTATCTGGCAGACCGTCTGCATGGTGGCTCTTGGTGACATGTAAGTGGCCTTTCCTTCCCCCGATCCCCATGTGATTTTACCGAGGAAGAGCAGTTCAGGCTAACCGGTGGGTCTCCGTTGCACCGAATAGGGCCAAGGAGGCAGTCGAAAAACTGACTGGCGATCAAGTCACCGCTAAGCACTAGAGAAGGTTTGAGACACCCTTCTGCTATGCAGACGGAAGAAAAGCCGGGGTGCGATATGCAGTATACCCGGTGACTCTTCAAGCATTGTTGATATTGTATCATTTTGGGACGGGACTTTCGGGCTCCGATGTCGAGCGCTTGGAGTTACCAAGAGAGGTACATACATTTAGCCAGGATCCAGAATTGTAGGGAATCAGATTAGCCAAGCATGCATCAATAGAAGTCAAATCTACGAGTACGGAGTACTGTGAACTATGCATGAGACAAGGACCGAGGTAGAAAGTAAGACCCGGGGAAACGCCATTGGACCCAAATTCGGTCCACCTAAGGATGAGAAAGAAATGTCCGATGTCGCGGAACTCGGGCAGATTTCGCCCGGATGCAACATCATCCAACGTAGCCAACTCGCCTTTTTTTACCGGACTACCAAGAGATCTTCATCCGCTTTCGGCCTTTTAATCCTTTGCAATATGCGGTGTATTCAGTGTTGATATGCGGTATATTTAGTATTAAATATTTAACATTAAGATGGGATCTTCAATGTGTTTATCCTTTCAAGACTTTTAGCGGCTTTTGATGGATATTTAGTATGACTTGGTTAGCGCTATTACATCAGTGTCATATGATAGTTAGTACTCGACTCGAGTTGACTCGGCTCTATGGTTTATTTACCTCTACTGGATCTACAACTAGTGTCAGTGCTGGTGACAGATGGTTTTCTCCGCATGGTCTGATGCTATCGTGTTTATTATACTCTACTCTACTCTACTCTACTATACTATACTATACTATATAGCCTTGACGTTTCGACACACCTGGTTGACTGATTTGATTAAATGGATGGATATGTGGGTTGTGGATGTATTGCGATTCCATACGTGAATGAGTGAACGAGTGAGTCGTTGCTCTATCTATCAGATCAGATCATGAAACTGTCCGAGTATGATATGGTGGGTGTGATATGGATGGTCTTTCCTATGGGATCGGTGGATTTGAGGTTTTTGAGTGTCGCTTTGCTTCGGGTTGGTTGAGATTGGTGATTGAGGATTGGCTGAGGATTGATGAGCTTTTGATCCTCTCCTTGTCGGACACGCTGCCTTTTTTCTCTGTTCCTTGGGAATGATTCTGGTGGACTATTGAAGTTGAATGGGGATACGATACTACTAACCTAGGTAGGGACTACCGCAGCATTGCTGAACTGCTATGAGGGGTATCTGACTGGGATAGTCAGGGACTTGGGTTTGGTTTTACTACTGACGTGTGACGAATTTGGGGATGGGTGATGATGGATGATGGATGATGGATGATGGACGAGGCCCATTCACATCAAAAATGACATGATACCTCGATTCATCATCATCATCACCATCAAAACAAGAAAACAGATAATACCAAAAGGGCGGGACTGCTGTACAATAAGAAAGGGAAAACATTTAAGATACAATTGTATTACAGTCAACAGCTACAACCACATCGCAGAAAAAAGAGATATATCAGCCAATCCTGGGGCTATCAACTCCCAAGTCGCGCTTTTCCCCAAGTCAATCTAGTATCTAGTGTATACAAGTTTAGACGGTCAGACCGAGATCCGAGCCGTAGGGAAGCTGGAAGAGATCTCCGACGGCGGCGACGGAGGCCTTGCTGGAGAGGAGGGACTTGGCGGCCTGGATTGGGTTAGCATATCATCCATTAAAAAAACATTTCGTGTGGTTGAAGTTGAACGTACATCCTTGACCTGCGCCTCGGTGACGCTGTCGATGCTCTGGGCAACCTCGCCAATCTGGTAAGGCTTGCCGCCGCTGACGAGAGCGGAGCCGGTGGCCTCGAGGCCGGTGCCGAGGCTCTGGGCGGACTCCAGGGCCTGGAACTTGGCCGCGGCGGTGGCCTTCTTGATGTCCTCGCCGGCGATCTCACCGGCGGCGATCTTCTTGAGGGTGTCGACGGCGGTCTTGCTGGCGGTGGCGACCTGGTCGGCCTTGCCGGACAGGGTGATGGTGAAGAGACCAGCGTCGGAGTAGGCGTGGTTCTTGGCGCCGGCACGGAGCTGCGAGAAGCCCTGGGCGGTCTTGGAGAGGAGAGAGAAGCCAGGGGACCACTTGATGGTGGACTCTCCGCCGAGCAGGGTAGCGAGGACGGAAGCCTCGGGCTTGTAGCTCGAGCCGCCGAAGGCGCTGGAGCCAGGGAAGGCGATCACGACGGCGTTGCCGGTCTTGGAGGCGATACGCTGCTCACCACCGTGGTACTTGGAGGCCGTGTTCGGTTGGAGCTTGAACTGGCTGGAGCTGCCGGCGCTGGGGAGATCCTTGAAGAACTCGCCGACCCACTTGGACAGATCGGCGTTCTTAGGACCGCTGCCGACCAGGGCGATGTTGGGCTTGGCGTAGGCCTGCTGGGCGAACTCCGCGAGGGCCTCAGCAGAGAGGTACTTCTCGAAGGGGACGGAGGTGGAGGGGGTGATGGCCTCACCCAGACCGCGGTGGAAGGCCACGGCGTGGGCGGCGTCGACAGCCAGGCTCTCAGGGTTGGCAGAAAGGGCCTGCTGCTTGTATTTGAGAAGCTTGATAACGACCTCGTTCAGTTCGTGGGCTGGCAAAGGCATCCAGGTCAGTGTCTTGTCGTCTTGCCGCCCGTTTAGATAGACTCACCGGCGAACTTGGACTGAGAGGCAACCTCAGCCAGCAGTTCCGCAAAGTAAGGAAGGTCACGCTCCAGGAACTTGGCCTTCAGAACAACGTTTTCGCGCGAGTGTGACGAGGCAATTTCACCGCCGAGAAGTTCAACCTCCCGAGTGATCCGCAGAGCCGAACGTTTGAGGGTAGTCTGTGATTGAGTGGAGACGTCGTTAGAACCATCTTGACTGTCGAATGATTGTCGAAGGGAAGAATTGGATCAAAAACTGACCTTGAAAGCAAACTGCTCGAGGGCGTCGCTGAAGCCCGGGAAAGGCTGGTAACGGGGGCCGGCCTTAGCGACCAACGCGAGGGTACCCGTCGGGCCCGCGATCTCTCTGTTGGCAATCTTCACGCCAGCCGACTCGGAGACGTCGTACTGGAGGCCAGGAGTGGCAGCAGAGGCCATACCGCGGCCATTGACCGCAGAGCACTGCTTCTGGAGCGCACGGGGCGCATTTCGGCTGATAGTCGACCGCGACAGCATTATCGCATGTGCGGAATATGTAAATAAAAAATGAGAGGGAGGGACCGTGAAAAGCCGAAAGGGCTCAACAGCAATTGTTGGTGGGGGGGGAGGACGGAGGGTGGTGGGAGAGCAGAGTATTGAAGGCTCCTGGTTGGAAATGATGAACGTCTGAAAAGCTTCAAGATCCCGGGCACCTTTTGATTACTCCCCTCCTGATTGGCTGGAATGGCGAGTGCGGGCGGAACCGGCTTATCCTGAGCCTCCGGGTCATGTGATTTATTAGAAAAAAGTCAGGTGATGCGCACGTGAGCGGTGGGCGCGCATGCGATAAGAAAAAAAGATCACCGTACGAGGAAGTATGGTATAGCTTCATAGTCCTGCGTTTCTCTCTTGTCTCTTTTCTTTTCTCTTTCCTTTCTTGTCTGTATTATATCCTTGGTCGCTGGTGTATGACCGATCCCGGCCTTCGTTCGTCTTTTCTTCCCCCGAGACTATAACCCGAAAGAAAAACCCGCCAATGTCCCTCTTCCGATGACCGTTCTCCTTCCATAGAGGATTGCAATTATTTTAGAGTCGTTGGAAGACGCGAAACATGTCTTCTCAAGTATGCGAATTCATATCTATCCAGATCTTGTTATGTACCTATGGTCCTGGTTCAGGCGCTGACCACGAGGACTGTAGTATAGTGCGGAGCTATGCGCGCTCCTTGTCGAAGATAATTTCGGGGAACTATTCGCGGTATGCTTCGGAGGCCCGGTTTTAACAATTCAAGACTGACGATCCGCTTCAGCGCATCTTCTCAACCCTCGTTCGCTATGATCGACTTTCCTTGCCCCGCCTCAAATTCTACTCCCACCTCTCCTACCCCCAGCTGCGCCATGGCATCGCAGCGATGATTCAACAGCACCTCGTCTACCACTACACCTCTTATGACGACGGGGTCACATACTACACGCCCAACCTGCAAGCTGCCTACTACCTCGTTCGAACCGGGAAGATCCTCGAGTTGGTCGAAGACAGACTGGGGAAGTATGCTGCTACCGTCATGTCAGCCATACTGTACCTAGGTCACGTCCAAGTGGGCAACCTCGAGGACCTTCCCGAATTGCAACCCGCCCCCGCCGATATAGACGGAGCCGAGGAGGAACAAGAAACGGAAGGGCAGCCGAATGGGCACAATGGCCAAGATACTGCGCATGCACCCCGTCTTCATCCGACATTGAAGGCTCTAGCGGCCCACGGGTATATCATCCGTGTCCGGGAATCCCATTTCCAGAGCTACGCCGACAACGTTCTGGACGCCGAACGGGTCATCAAAGCGCGGCCGGACATCAAACAACTCAAGGGCAAAAAACTAGACGAGGCAGTCGTCGAAGCCACCCTTACAATGCTCAAGGAACGCATGGACGGCGACCTCACCCGTGGACTGGTGTTTAATGGTGTGCCCCGAGGTGTCAAGCGACGGCACGATGTCAAAAATGGCGATGGCCCTACCAAGAAGGCACGGAGTGACTATGCTGCCGTTGACGAGGAGGACGAACATGACGATGAATGGTCAGACGACGAACTAGACGACGAAATTCCCATGGAGGTGAGACTTCCCCTTCGATTGAATCCAACCCTAATCCACGCAAATCTGACAGACATCATCTAGTCTACACTGATAGTCCAAGTGAACTACGACAAGCTAGACGTCGCCCTCCGAAACCGTCGTTTCCTAGACCTGGCCGAACGCGACTCGTCGTCAGCCACGGTCCAAGTCTACGACTGCCTCCTCCGACGCATCGAATACCAAACCTCCAAATGCCGAGACGGCGTCGAAATCCCCCGCGAGGGCGAAGAAGGCGAACAATACTCCGCCCCCATCGCCCTGAGCGCAGTGGCCGACGACGTCGATCCCGACCTAGATCTCGCGGCAAGTATCGGCCCCATGGACGCATCCCAACCCGGCCTCCGACGCGGCAAGCGCCCCCTAGACGACGACGACGACCACATGAACGGCACCACCGACCACGCAGCCGCCAACACCCTAGCCTCCAAGGGCAACCGCACCTACGAAGTCGACCAGCACCTAAGCCTCCTCGCGCAACCGCCCCACAACCTCACCTCCAAGCGCACCATCGGCGGCCTCCCCAGCTGGACAGTCGAGTTCCGCCACCTAGCCCGCAAGCTCCGACACCTCGAGCTCGAGCGCATGATCGAAGCGCGCTACGGCGACGTCGCTCTGCGCCTCATCCGCGTCCTGCACGCCAAGGGGAAACTCGACGAGAAGCGGTTACAGGAGATCAGTCTCCTCCCGTTCAAAGACCTCCGCCAGGTTCTCGCCAACATGCAATCCGGCGGCTTCGTCGACCTCCAGGAAGTGCCCCGCGACGCACAGCGCCAGCCCTCCCGCACCATCTACCTCTGGTTCTACGACCCCGACCGTGTCCGCAGCAGCGTACTGGAAGATACGTACAAGACGATGTCCCGGTGTCTGCAACGGCTGCGCTTCGAGCGCGCCCGCTTAAAAGAGTTCCTCGAGAAGACCGAACGGAGTGACGTCAAGGGCAACGAGGAGCGGTATCTCTCCGAGGCGGAGTTGACTCTTCTAGAGCAGTGGAGAGCGAAGGAGGCGCTGTTGGTGGGCGAAATCAGCCGTTTGGATGAGATGGTTGCTGTAATGAGGGATTATTGAATCAAAAAAAAAAGGCTGGTTCTTGGGTTTGGGGGAGGGGGAAGGACAAGTCCCTCTTCTCTGGTATTTGATGTCTTGCATAAATAAAAGCATATGCGATTTGGAATATTTAGCCATTTTTCAGCTGGAATACTACGCTGCTTGCATAAGATTTTTGGACAAAGGACATATAGCAAAATCAAGAGCCTCATGAGGGCTGTATTGACGACTGTATCAAGTCTAATGTAGAAGTACCAGTGAAATAATGAACAAAGGTGGAATGAGGTAGAAAAATATATGAAAGAAATAGTGAATGGTTTAGACCTGCAACGCCATACACCCGCCCAGTATGTGAAACCCATAAACAAATTCCGCCTTACGCAGACAAGACCACCTTGCAAACCTTGCTTGACCCAGCAAGTCTCAGTAAACCTCCAATCCCGGTGTAATCCATGCCATAATATCCCATATCCCGATCCCATTGTACTCCATTATTTTGGAACATATCTACCAGAACATGTCGCCTGATGGGCTATCCTGGAGAAGAGATTATGCGTGCCCTGAACGCGGCACGAAGAAAAAGCAAAAAAGACAGAAAAGAGATGAGTATCTAGATAGACCGGCCGATGCTTTGACTCGGTCTCCTAGACGCTCGGACTAGCATTGGCGTCTTCGGCCTCGGTGCTGCTCTTTGCTTGCCCGCTTTCTGGGGTGGTGACACCCTCCTTGTGGGACTGGACGTTTCCCGTGCTTTCACTTAGACGAGACTCCGCAGCGACGAGTTTCCCTTTGGTTTCACCGAGCTCCTGTTGCAAAGCCTTGATGTAGTCGATGGCCATCTCCACCGTGCTGGCCTTGCTGATCTGCGCGTTGGCATTCTTCTCCTTCTCCTTCTCGCTGACTTTGACGTTGCAGGCTGCGGCTTCCTTGGCATTTTTCATTTGAACAAAGGCAGATGGAATCAAGGTTTCAATCTCCTTGAGCGCCGTATTGATACGATTTCGTCGGCCCTGCTCCGCGAGCTTGTGATTCGTCCGTTTGGAGCTCAAATTTTCGGCGAGGGTTTCCGGGTAAGAGACGCCGGGAAGGAGCGTGCCGTCCAGAATATGCTGGTAATTGGATTTGGAGGCTAAATATAAAGCCGAGGACTCACTCGACACTCCTAGATAGGCACCATCACGTTAACCCAAGTACGAGGGGGGAAAAAAAAGAAAGTAGAAAACAGGTAGACACTCACCATCACCACGCACCATGGGTTTGATGCTGGGGCTGATTTTGGGACGCAGATTGGGGCTTGGTTGCGACGAGCTCAGGCTCTGACGTTTCCGGGCCATGGGTCCCAATTTGGGAGTGTCTGACTTCTTGCCGACCGGACCGCTGGGGGACGGCATGGCGATGGATCGCGGACTGAGCGCTACTGAACCCGGGGGTCGGTCGGGGGCGGAGTTGGGCTCCAGGTTTGGCGTAATCTTGACCCCCGAGGCCGGGGACGGGACAGTGGTTCGCACGGCAGTGTCGATACGGGGGACTTCAGGTCGCGCCAGATAGGAGGTGGGATTGGCCGCCTCGGGAAGGGTGATGTCTTCCATGATGTCGTCATAGGAAGCCGACGACACAGACGGCGCCGGGATATTGGTCGCCGGGCTCTGCTGCTGCTGCTGCTGCTGTTGCTGCTGCTGTCGTTGAAGGCGCATCAACATAGCCGGGGTCGCCGGCTCGTTGTTTTGGGACTGGCTCATCTGTGGGGCGATTGCGGGGGACCTTCGCGCCGGGGGCAGTGCGGGCGGCGGCATCAAGGGTTCAGAAAGTGATTCTGGGGAGACCGAATCCTGACCGGAGCTCTCGGTGCTCCCGTACCGAAGGCTACTCGTGCCCACCGGGCGGGACTTCGAGGGGTCTTGACTAAGGCCATTCAAGATCTCATCGGGGTTGATATTGAGCAGAGACGTCTTCCGCGTCCGCGGGCGCACCGACGGAGATTGCTGTTTCTTGGCTCGGGTCGAGAAGCCCTTGTTGGTGGTCGTCGAGGGCCGGTGGCGGTGGTTGTGGCGGACGATGGCGGGGGACGACGGGGTAGAGGAGCCGGGCAATGAGTTGTCGGCGGGCGACGGCACGAAGCCCATCTCAGAGACGGGTCCCGGGTTGAAGGGGTAAGGGTTGGAAGAATTGGCGTTCTGGGCTTCCAGAGCCGGGGAGGTGAGCGGCGTGAAGTACTCGCCGGGCACGGTGTATTCGGGGAGGCGAAGCTGTGCTTCCAAGGGGGTCATGGCGGGGGACACAAGGGGGGTGTAGAGAACCTGTGAGGGGCGGGTAGGTGCATTAGCCATGCATGCACGCGGTGACCCCGTGGAAGAGGAGGGGGAGTTAGATTGTACAATGGGCTCCACACTCACTTGTTCATCGACGCGGGAATATTGATCGTACAGGTCATGGTTGTCATCGATGCGCCGCGGGTACGTGGCCGCGTTACCCTGGAGCTCGATGGAGTTCGGAGTCGGGGGAATAACGGTCTGGCCCAGGGGAATGTAGGGTTGCGAGGAGAGCTGCGAGGAAGGATGTAGCTGGGGTTGGACGTCGGGTGTCAATTGCTGGTGAAAGACCTGGGGAAGCGAAGGCTTCTGGGAGTAGAAGGCCGGGGCGATGGGGGCGTGGGCGTACGACGCCGGGGCGGGCCCATTGGACGGTGACTGGTGGGCATGGGGAGCGAGGTCGACGGGGAGATCGCCCATGACGGAATCGAAGGCGGTGGTGTCCATTTGAAGCCACTGATCCTGGGTAGGAGGTGCGGTGGAAGCGGGCATGGAGACGGACAGCGAACGGGGAGGAGGTTGCTGGTCACTTGACCCGTGCGAGTCTAAATCGGCAAAGGGGCCACCATAGGCGAAGAAGTTGGAAAAGTCATCGTCGCCGGGACCAGATATGTCCTGCAAGGACAGACCCTGTTGTTCCTGGTCCATGACGATTGAGGGCTTGATTCGAAAGGCCGAAGTTTTGAGAAAGGAAAAAGAGATTTTCACGTTTCTTTTCCGTGTCCCTTTTGGGCTATGTTCAAAGATGAGGCAAAAAAAAAAAAAAACGTATTAAAAGAAAAAATCGAAATTGAAAAATTATGAAGATATGGCGACTAGAAGTGGACGTCAAAAGCCAGGATGACCATGATCTTCGAGGCGAAAGCCAGTAAGAAAGAGTAGGGAAGGTTAAGAAAAAGAAGCGATATGCCGAGAGGAAAGAAGCCGAGCGAGAGGCACCTCAGCGGAGGGGATTAACAGACGTCATTATAGTGGTGAAAAAGTGGGGGTGGTTTGAAGATTGTGTCGGAGCAAGTCCAATTGGGAACCGATCTCCGCGGGCCACAAGAATAAGAACGCGAGACGCGAGAAGCGAGAAGGAAAGAGAGGAGAGAGAAGAGAGATGGAGGAAAGGAAGATCGGAAAGAAGCGAGCAGATTGGACGGGAAGAATAGGGAAGTAGAACCTTGGGTCGGTTCCTGTGCTTAGTAGTGGGGATCGTCCTGGTCGACTCGATTCGGTAGGTTTGAGGGGAATCGCAACTTAAATCCTGGAGGAAAATGAGCCCCACATAGATCGGTCAGAGCATGATTCGTCCCAAAGATCCACGAAAAAGTAAAGGAAACGGAGAGAGAGAAAAGGGAGGATAGGATGGGATGAAGGGAGGTGAAGGCGAAGATGAAGATAGAGAAGAAAACCAGAGAAAGAGGGCGGATCATGTGATGGGATTGAGACTGCTGAGTCAGCTATCATCAGATGACATAATCATGCGGGGTGCTGGTCACGTGTCGCGATCATGACATCCATCCGATCATCTCCTTCATACTTCACACTCCATACTTTCACACCCCTCTTCAACTCTCATCCTGTTTGTTGATTCTCTCCTACCTATCTCTCTCATACATGATGAGACCTCCCGTCCCCGATGTGATTCTCCCCCGTTCCCGAAAGTCTTCCCTCGATCAACCTCCACCCCGATCGGATCCTCATTCTATGACCCCCGCAACCTTCTTCTTAGCTCGGAATGGCTCCCAAGATGGGGATCTCGCCTCTCCCTTTAGTCCAGATAATGATGATGATGACAATACTGTTGAATATGATGAGAATAATAATAATGCCGACCTGAATGAGTTGAATGTCTCCCCTGATTACATGTATGGTGTACGGAGCCTGGAGGATACCAGCATCCCCGTCAGTTCGAGCCCATTGGGGTCACCCGTCCAAGACGACGACCGATCGAAAGAGTCGAGAGAGAGTGAAGGGGAGGAACCGTCGAATCTTTCAGACCCCGGGGTCATGCCTCGTCGCAGATCTACCCTCCGACCCTCCGATCTCTTCCATCCTCTCCCGTCCGATCCGAACCTTTTGACCTCCAATCCCACATCCCCCAGACCGTCGACTCCCTCCAACCTGAGCATCCCCGACTCCCAGCCGTCTCTTCCCAGTAGCCCTGCCTCCACTTCCAACCATTCCATGCGACATCTCGATGATATCTCCATTACGGACGATCTGAGCATCCAAGCCCTGCCTTCGGGGGAGGATGACGACCGTGACTCGCGGCCGTCCCCCAAGCTAGGGCCCGACCATGTCTCCCAACTGATCATGCCCAGTATCACAATGCCCAGTCGTCGACCTTTCACAGATCGTGGGAAGTCTCTGGGTCGCTTGAAGCTACTCTTTGCTGGCGTTTCCGGTGAGTTGTCGGTGCACTCCGTCCGCGTTCACGTTTAGGTTTTGACGGGTGTAAACCAAGGGTCTGGGAAAACCTCCCTCATTAGATCGATCGTCCAAACCTGCGAGGATATAGTTCATGTCGATCCTCTGCTCTCGGAGCTCTCGCCAACGGTGTCCCATCGCTCTCCCTCATCGTCCCGATCCGGTACCCCCACGACAGGGATAGCGGAGGTCTACGCCAGCACCAAGCCGTATCCACCCTGGTGGTCCGATCTGGAGGACTCCCGGGTCTTGCGAAGGCGTAGGAGCACGGGAGATGTCATCCTCGAACGCAATATCTGCTTCGTCGATACGCCGGCCAGTACCCTCAGCCGAGCGGGCCAAACCGACGCCATCATCCAATACATGCAGCAGCAACTCTACCGAGCGAGCTCCTCCATGCATCTCTCCAACCACGATTTTCAGAACATGCTGGCCGGGAACGGCGGGCTGCAGGTGGACGCGGTGGTCTACCTCCTGGCCGAGAACACCCTCCCCACGGATGTCGAGTGCATTCGAAAGCTCTGCGAGTGGACCAATGTCATTCCGGTCATCTCAAAATCAGACCTCCTCACCGCCGACCAGTTGTCTGCCCTCAAAGCGGCCTTTGACAGCCAAACCCAGACAGCTGCCATCCAGCCCTTCGTCTTCGGGGACGGCTCCCCCGAAGGGGCGGACGGGCTCGAGACCCGGGTGCCCTTTGCCGTATCATCCGCCAAAAGCAGCGACGACGAGGTCATGGACGCCAGCACGTTGATGAGCCCAGACTACGTCCAGCCGCTGGCGACTTCCGAGCTCGACGTTCTGGTCCAGCAGATCTTCGACGCCGACAATGTAGCTTGGATCCGTCACTCGGCAGCGAAGAAGCTCGCACAGCGACAGCGAGAGCGTCCCCTTCGATGGCCGCCTGGTGGTGGTGGTGGTGGTGCTGGTGCCCTGGCACAAGCCGGTCGCCCCGTCTCCACCTACAACCCCCCTCCAAGTTACGCAATCTCCCGCATAACCGACTACACCCACCAGGAAGACCGACTAGCTCAAGCACGGCTAGCCAAATGGGCCTGCGACCTGCAGCGCAGCCTACAGAACGAGCGAGAACGCTACGCAGCCCTCGCACGCGGCGACCGAGCCGTCTGGCTCACAGAACGACTCGGCGAGTGTGTCGTCGACGGCTCGCTAGTCCCGATCACACAGACCCCAGGCTACAGCGATCTAGACCGCCCAAGCCCCGCGGAGAAGACGACGCCATCAGCCGGGCGTCGCAGTCTCCTCGCGCGGAGACACAGCAGACCTAAAACAGAGTACCACGTCGGCCCGGTCAGTCCCCACGACCCGCTGGGCCTGATCCGCTGGTCGGAAGACCTCAAACGCCGGGGGTGGACTATCGTCCAGATCGTGGGTAGTTTCGGCGTCGTGGGCGGGCTGGCTGTTTGGCTGGCTCAGACTTGGGGGTTGCCGTCGAGGACTCTGTCTGAATGGCGATTCGATTATTAGTGGGCTTACTATCAGTATGGGCTTACTATTACTATTACTATGAGCTTCAACTATTACCATGGAGCTGTCGCCGAATGGTGGCGGCATCACCTCTCACTTACTCACTCTCACACACACAGTCTCTCTATACACAATCTCTTAACACCACCTAATCTTGTCTTCCTTTCCCTCCACCATACAAGGTGAAGCCAAAGTGAAGAAACACAATCACGAAACAAACTCAAACGAAACGAAACGAAACGAACAGGCAATGCAGGAGGAACAAACAGGATAGGAGTTCACATTTGCAAAGGGCAGTCAGTTTTGGAGTTTTTCTTTCTTTTTTACTTACTATCTCGTTTTACTTTTTTTGTCTGGTCAATTGGAAGTTAGTCATGTGGGGAGAACGGGCCTGGCGTCTATATCATTAATTGAGGATATCTATCTATCTGTCTATCTATCTACACTAGATACTTGGTTTGACCTGACTTTTGACTTCTGCAGGTGGATTAACTGAATTGGACTAGATTGAACTACAGTTGGGGTAATGGGTATGCGTTCTTATCAAGGAATTGATTGAATTGTCCTGGGTAGACAGTCCACATACGGGGTCGAGGACGGGGTACTACTTTTACCGATTAGAATGCTAATTACGGAGCAATAACAGCAATTGAACAGATCAAGCTTTTCATTCTTGAGATTATCCATGGTATGCGACGAATCCTATCCATCACCCCGGCGTGGGGACAAGATGGACGTGGCACCTCGGAACAATCGTCAGACGTAAAAGATTTGGTAGTGAAGTAGTAAAAGATAAAAAACGCTCAAAACGCCGAAAAGTGACATGATCACGTAGCAAACCGTGTCCCGCCCCGTTCCCCGTAAGGATACGCAAAGGATCATCCCGGCGAACAGATCACCCGGGAGACGATGGATCGCGGGAGCGGGGGGGAGGGGGGACGGTCGTCAAAAGTAGTGACAGTTCGTTTCCCATTCCGGATGCAACATCAAAAGACAATTAAAAAGGATCAATTAAAGGATCTAGTCAACCTCCTCCATGGAGGACTCGCCGGCGGCGGCAGCGGGAGCAGCCTCCTCGGCGGCCTTCTCCTCGCTAGTCTCGGCTTCCTCGTCGACGTTGAGACCCAGCGACACGAGCTTGTGGATGCGCTCGGCGAAGCTGGCGGGCTCCTCGATGGTGAAGCCGGAGACGAGCAGCGAGGTCTCGAACAGCAGCTGGGTGATGGACTTGACGGTGCGGTCACCCTCGCCGTCGGCCTCGACCTTCTTGCGGAGCTCCTTGATGATGGGGGACTTGGGGGAGATCTCAAAGGTCTTCTTGGAGGACATGTAGGAGCTCATGGAGGTGTCACGCAGGGCCTGGGCCTTCATGATGCGCTCCATGTTGGCGGACCAGCCGAACTGACCGGTACGGATGGCGCAGGGAGCGCCGACGAGCTTGTGGGAGACGACGACCTTCTCGACCTTGTCGCCGAGGATGTTCTTGAGGCTCTTGGCCAGGCCCTCGAACTCCTTCTCCTCCTTCTCGCGCTCGGCCTTCTCCTCCTCGCTCTCCTCGAGCTCGAAGTCCTTGGTGATGTCGACGAGCTTCTTGCCGTCGAACTCCTTGAGCTGGGTGAAGGCGTACTCGTCGATGGGGTCGACGAGGAAGAGGACCTCGAAGTTCTTCTGCTTGAGGCTGTCGAGGAAGGGGGAGCGGGCGACGGCCTTGAGGGACTCGCCGGTGATGTAGTACATCTGCTTCTGGTGCTCGGGCATGCGGGTGACGTAGTCGGCGAGGGAGGTCATCTCGTCGCCGGACTTGGTGGAGTGGTAGCGCAGCAGCTTGGCCAGGGTCTGGCGGTTCTGGGCGTCCTCGTGCACACCGAGCTTGATGTTCTTGCCGAAGGCGCTGTAGAACTTGTCGAACTGCTCGCGGTCCTCGGCGATCTCGGTGAAGAGCTCGAGGGTCTTCTTGACGATGTTCTTGCGGATGACCTTCATGATCTTGTTCTGCTGCAGGGTCTCACGAGACAGGTTGAGGGGCAGGTCCTCCGAGTCGACGACACCCTTGACGAAGCCGAGCCACTCGGGGATGAGGTCGGTGGCGTCGTCGGTGATGAAGACGCGGCGGACGTAGAGCTTGATGTTGTTCTTGGTCTTCTTGGACTCGAAGAGGTCGAAGGGGGCACGCTTGGGGACGTAGAGGATGGCGCGGAACTCGAGCTGACCCTCGACGGAAAAGTGCTTGACGGCCAGGTGGTCCTCCCAGTCGTTGGAGAGCGACTTGTAGAAGGAGGCGTACTCCTCCTGGGTGATGTCGGCGGGGTTGCGAGTCCAGATGGGCTTGGTCTTGTTCAGCTCCTCCTCCTCGATCTTGCTCTCCTTGACGGTCTTGGTCTTCTTCTCCTTCTTCTCCTCGTCCTCGTCGACCTCCTCGATCTTGGCCTTCTTCTCCTCGTCCTCCTCCTTGGACTCCTCCTCCTTGGCCTCCTCGTCGGGGACCTCGGTCTCGGTCTCCTTCAGGACGTGGAGGTAGATGGGGTAGGAGATGAACTCAGAGTGCTTGCGGACGACCTCCTTGATGCGGCTCTCGTTCAGGTAGTCGGTCTGCTCCTCCTTGAGGTGGAGGATGATCTTGGTACCGCGACCGATCTGCTCACCCTCGGTGTCCTGGGTGAGGGTGAAAGTGCCACCGGCGGCGGACTCCCAGATGTACTGCTCATCATCGTTGTGCTTGGAGATGACGGTGACGCGGTCGGCGACCAGGTAGGCGGAGTAGAAACCGACACCGAACTGACCGATCATGGAGATATCGGCACCGGCGGAGAGGGCCTCCATGAACTGCTTGGTGCCGGAGCGAGCGATCGTACCCAGGTTGTTGATGAGATCCTAAGACCAGTCAGCGTCTTGAACACGGTGTCAAAACAGGGAGAAGGGGGAACATACAGCCTTGGTCATACCGATACCGGTATCACGGATGGTGAGGGTCTTGCCCTCCTTGTTGGGGACGATGTCGATGCGGAGGTCCTTGCCCGAGTCGAGCTTGGAGGGGTCGGAGAGCGACTCATAGCGGATCTTATCAAGGGCATCGGAGGCGTTGGAGATGAGCTCTCGCAGGAAGATCTCCTTGTTAGAGTAGACGGTGTTGATGATCAGCGAGAGGAGCTGAGAGATCTCAGCCTGGAACTCGAAGGTTTCGGCCGACATGATGAATTAGAGGAATTCTAGGATTGTTAGCACCTGATTGAAAATTTATGATTGGTTTGAAAGCGAGAGTAAAAGGAACGGGGAAGCGAGGAAGAAAGACGAGAAACAGTTAGGAATCGAAAGAAAAAAAGAAGAGAGACTGAGCGAAGAAGGAAGGAGGAAAGAAAAAAAAAAGATGAGGGGCGAAAGGGCTCCGTGAAGATCACCCAACGAGCCTCACCCGCCAGGCTGCAACCAGAAGGATTCACCAGCTCAGCTCCAGGCGGTGTTGAATTGGATGGTCTTTCTTTTTTTTTTCCTTTTCCTTTTCTTTCTTCTCCTGCTTCACAATTCTTTCTTTATTCTTTCTTTCTTCTTCTCGGTCCTGTTTCTCATCCTTCCCCTGGATACCCAGACAAAGAAAGAAAAAGATAGCTCCAACCAAAAAGGCGGTGGAGAATGAGGGGAAAAAGCGACCACGAGCTAACTTACAAGGATCTAGAAAAGTGTAAGGTTCAAGAGGAAGAGAGTAAGAAGGGAATTGAGAATGGAATGAGAGATCTGCTTAAACAGCAGAGAGAGAGATGGATGGAGATGGAGAGAGGGAAGTGAAGAAGTGAAGGAAGAAAAAGAGATCGGTGGGGGAAGGAGGGGGAGAAAAAGAAAGAAAGTTGTTCATGGAATTTTCTTCTACGACGATCCAGCAACTTCTACGCTGCTCTGCTCCGTTTGGGTCGAGCTTTCCACTTTCCACTGTCTTCCATTCCCTGCCTGGGCTGGTCTCCACTCCTTTCCACTTTCTTCTTTCTTGGACTTTTTGGATTCGATTGATTTGATTCTCGTAATTACAGGGAATGTTCAGAAAACGAAGTGGGAACAGAGCGATGACGAGTAGACCTGAGGCGAAAAGCTTGGATCGGTGCATGCCTCAGGCCCCCCATCTAGAACGTTCTCCACGTCTTGTTCTCCATCTCTCGGGCAACCATTCAGATAGAATTCAGAGAGGTAGTAATATCATCATAGAATAATCATCAACTCGCTATGCTACAAGCACCAAAGAAGTCACTTGTGACAACACTGGGAGATCCATCTCAAAACAACAGGAAAAAATCGGAAAATAATAGAAGAGAGAAGAATCAGGCACGGACCAAAACTGCAGAGAAAATAAAACAGAAAAAATAATAATAATAATAAAAAAAAA